AAATTATACTGTCTGGTGAAAGGCAATTTTCTAAATGATTTTATTAGCAGTATGAACTAGAAAGTTGTTGTTTTTTTTCACTTGTTCCTGTCTGCTTTCGCTGTTCCTCTCTTTGTCAGACTAGACTCAGACTCTGTATAAAAGGAGTTTGCGGGACCAAAATAATAAATAAATTGAACTTCATCAGAACTAAAGTGTTGGTGCTTTAAAGGGTATTATCACGAAATTGAGAAGAAACCATTAGAATAAGGGAAATCATTGCAAATCATTATCTGGTATAGGGCTTGCACCCAGGAAGGGAGCATTTGGTGTAATGGTTATGACATTTTTTGAGATGCCCACATCCCATATCCCAGTGTCTGGTTTCAAGTTTGGCCCCCCTTCCAATTCCAATTTCCTACTAATGTGCACCCTTGGAGGCAGCAGGTCATGACATAAGTCTTTAGGTACCTGCATCGTATCCAGGAGACCCAGATTGAATTCCTGGCTTCTGGCTTCACCTGGCCTGCCCTCAGCTGTTGTAGGCATTTGGGAAGTAAACCAGTAGATAAAGGGTCTCTCTCTCTCTCTCTCCTCTTCCAAATAAAAATAAGCAAATGGATAAATGAAATTAAAAAGGCCTTGTATCCATAATATATAAATAACTGTAATAATTCAATGATAGAAAGACAAATAATCAAATTTTAAAATGAGCAAATTTAGATATATTTCTCCAAAGAAGATATATAAATGATCAATCAGCCCATTCAAAGATGCTCAAACTCATTAGTAATTAAGGAAAGCAAATCAGAATCACAGGGAGATACCATTTCACACATCCTGGGATGCATTCAAATGATGGACAGTTACAAGTATTGGTAAGGGTACAGATTCAGACCCTTATCCTGTAGAAAACATCTTGGTGCTGCTCAAAAAATTAAACACAGAATTACCAAATGACTACTCTTTGGTATATTCCCAAGAGAACTGAAAACATTTCTTCACCCAAAAACTTGTACACTGATGTTCATAGTATTGCTCATAGTAACCACAAAGTGAAAACAAACCCAAAATTTGCACCAGCTGCTAAAGTGTGATAAGTCAAATATGGTATAACCAGTCAAAGTGGATCTTATTTAGCCATACAAAGGAGTAGAGTACTGACACAGGCGACAGTGTGGAGGAACCGGGAAGCAGCACGTAGAAGAAGCCAGACACAGAAGGCCACACACTGTGCTGTGTGATTCCAGCCGTAGGAAATGTCCAGAGCAGGCAGATTCATAGACAGCTGGTAGCTGGCGGCTGCCTGGGGCTGAGGGGAGATGAGAAGGGGAAGGGACTGCGCATGGGTGTGGTTTCTTTTTAGGTGATGAAAATGATACGGATTTAGTGGTGATGGTTACGTAACATGTGAGTACTCTGAAACTCACTAAATTGTACACTTTTAAAAGGGGAACAACACATAAATAATCCCAAACAAAAACTGATGGACAGATTGTCTGAATAGACATTTCTCAAAAGAATGAATGCAAATGACCAACAGTACATGAAAAAAATGCTCAAGATAATTAGCCATCAGGAAAATGCAAATCAAAACTGTGATGAGACGTCATCTCACTTCAATTAGAGTATTACCAAAAGACGAAAGGTGACAAATGCTGGTGAGGACGTGGAGGGAAGGGAACTCTCACACACAGTTGGGCGGGATACTGTGGGAAACAATATGGAGTTTCCTCAGACAATAGACATAGACCTAACATGCGCTGCAGCTGTTCCATTTGTGGGCACCATGCGAGTCAGAGGTCATGCAGAGCAAAGCACAAGCAAACGGCACGAACAGGACACCCGCACCCTAGTGTGCTCCGTTCAGTTCCGTTCACACCTAGAGCTGCAGGACAGGGTGGAGGGTCCCTTAGGACAGACAGGCTTACGGAGAAGGAAAATGTCTGAGCTTGGTTCACTAGTGAGCTGGCTCCGCTTGTGACTATAAGCCAGATGTGCACAAAGACTGCACTGTAGCACCTGCAAGAGGTGGTGAAAAAAATGTTCCCAGTGGAGAGAGCTACGGGTGCTGTGCTCAGTTATCCACGCGGGATTAGAGTGTGCGTGGAGCAGCAGTGTTCGCAGCAGCTGGTCGGGGGTGTGGGGAGACCCACGCCGGGCGGCTGAGGACAGCGGCACACAGATGGGCATCTGGAGTGGACATGGTGGGTGAAGGTTTCCGTGTTGTAGGTTAACACCCAACAGACAGCTCCCGCCATGGGAGAGCTGCCGAACAATGAAGCAGACAAAATCACCTGGCTGTTTGGCATTAGCCAGCCGCCGTCACTGGCACTGACAGAGTGGGTGTGAGAAGGGTCGTGATGGCAGAAGCAGAGGCCCTGCCTAGGCCAACAGCGTGGGCTCCTGCTGACCACGCCGCTGCTGCTACTGAACTTCAGTCTGCCCCCAGCACAGACTGAGGCTAGCCCTAAACCTGCTCCATCCCTCCGGGAGACCAGCTGGCCATTCGGTGGCCTTTCCATCCCAGAAGGAGCAGTGATTCGCGTCAGCAGAAACATGCATTTTCTGGGTAAGGTTCGTCTTTCCCACCTGCAGGGCCTTGGTCACCTCCACTGTCTGAGGACTTTACACAGTATTAAATCCACCCTCAGAAGATCCCAGATCCCATGGGACGTGACGTCAGGCCAGTTCACAGCAGAGTAAAGGGATCCAGTTTCCCACCACATGAGAGTGAGGGCACCGGTCATGTCACATGCAGCAGGTACCACTCAGAAGTGGCTGGTCTGACAGAGCCCTGGAGGAGCCTCTGGAAGGTCACTGGAGAGGTCAGCTAGGGGGCTTTGGAGGATGGGGCCCCTGCCCCAAGGTGCAGGATACTCGAACTTGAAACATTACATAGGATGCTGGGCCCCCAGAGGACATGAAACAGACTAGCAAACACAATTGTGCATTTAGTTCACATTATGGGCCGGCGCCGCGGCTCACTAGGCTAATCCTCCGCCTTGCGGCGCCGGCACACCGGGTTCTAGTCCCGGTTGGGGCACTGAATTCTGTCCTGGTTGCCCCTCTTCCAGGCCAGCTCTCTGCTATGGCCCAGGAAGGCAGTGGAGGATGGCCCAAGTCCTTGGGCCCTGCACCCCATGGGAGACCAGGAGAAGCACCTGGCTCCTGCCTTTGGATCAGCGCGGTGCGCCAGCCGCAGCGTGCCCACCGTGGCGGCCATTGGAGGGTGAACCAACGGCAAAAGGAAGACCTTCTCTCTGTCTCTCTCTCTCACTATCCACTCTGCCGGTCAAAAAAAAAAAAAAAATAGATCACATTATGGTTAATATCCATTGTGTATAATAAAATTCTTCATATAAGAAAGTTAAAAAAAAAACTATTAGGAGAAAACAGTCGAAGGAGAGAAGAATAAATAGAGATGTCCACTAAGTGTCTAAGGAGATAGATAACAGCACAAAATGCCATCTATAAATCATCATTTCCCTCACGAAGGTCAGGGAGTATGGGTGATGCTCAGCTCTGGTGAAGGCTGGAAGGGGCACCTGTCTCCTGCACGCTTCGTTGTATCTGGGCATATGGTAGATCCAGCAGGGTGCACACTCTTCAATCCAGGAAATTCAGTTCTAGGGACTTTTCCAGCAGAAATACTTGCATTTGACACAGCAGTTAAGACGCCACTTGGGACGCCCACATCCCACATCAAAGTGCTAGGAATCCTGCCTCCACCCCCACCCCCACCCGGCTTCCTTCTGCTGCGCATCCAGGAGGCAGCAGGTAATGGCTCAAGCACTGGGGTTTCTGCCACCATATGGGAGATCCAGCTAGAGCTCTGGGCTCCTGGCTTGGCTATTGCAGATATTTAGAGAGTGAACCAGTGGATGGAAGGCCTCTGGCTGTCTGTCTCTCTGCCTTTCAAATAAAATCAAAATGAAAATTTTAAAAATAGTTGTTCAAATGTGGGAAGATAAAGTCCAAAGATTTTCATGGCAGTGTTATTCGCATTAGTGAAAAATTGAAAACAATGTAAATCAATAGAGAACTAGTTAATGAATTATGGTGTAATGGAAATTGTTCACATTTCCTGGGAACCTGGTGTGTGCCACACAGGGTTCCCCGCACTTTTACAGGTATTAGCTGATTTAATCCTTACAACCCCCTCAGGGAGATAGTACTACTCCACCCATTTCACAGATAAGGCAATTGAGGCAGAGAAGGTCTAAAAACTTGAAAACAAAGTGTTGGACACGTATGAGTGGTTTGATGTCACTTCACATGATTGAGCAGAGGCCGTGCCCGTGTGCGTGGACGCTACATCCGCCTGTGGGTGGGAAGGTCCCGGGTGGCTTCGCAGGAATCTGCTCACTGTGAACTCTGAAGACTGAAGGTCAGAGTGGAAGATTTCCTTTTTTTTTTTTTTTTTTAACAGGCAGAGTGGACAGTGAGAGAGAGACAGAGAGAAAGGTCTTCCTTTTGCCGTTGGTTCACCCTCCAATGGCTGCCATGGCCAGTGTGATCCGAAGGCAGGAGCCAGGTGCTTCTCCTGGTCTCCCATGGGGTGCAGGGCCCAAGCACTTGGGCCATCCTCCACTGCACTCCCGGGCCACAGCAGAGAGCTGGTCTGGAAGAGGGGCAACCGGGACAGAATCTGGCGCCCCTCCCGGGACTAGAACCCAGTGTGCTGGCACCACAGGCAGAGGATTAGCCTATGAAGCCAAGGTGCCGGCCAAGATTTCCATTTTTGCTTTATACACTTTCTGTGTCTTTGATTTAAAAAAAAAAAAAAAAAAGCCTTCATTTTGTAATTTAAAACCAGTTTAGTAACCCACTACCTTTAGCTCCAAGAAGCTCCCTGGACTCAATCCATTTGCGTGCTTTGGTTCCTTTTCAGGGACTGAAGCAGGCCTCAGGAAGAAAGGGCGCTCACTCCAGTGAGATGGCTCCAGGGCAGGGGGAGGGGTGGGTGGTGTAAGAGTGTGACACTTGGACTGGCTCAAGGAAGGAGGGGGGCGGGGGTGGCAGAGGAAGGAGCAGGGAGACAAGACTGGATTGGAGCAGCACTCAGAAGCGGCTCCCATCCCCCTGCCGGCTGCCCTCCCTCCAGGCGACTCCTCTGGCCAGCCCAGCAGGCAGACACAGCCCCAGGAGCCTCTGAGGCAGCTTCACACCGTTCAGACAATTCTTTTGGCACAATGTCTCATTCCAAGGAGTCAGACGAACTTGTTTTCTTTGTGAATGGGAGAAAGGTAAGATTTCCACAGTGCTGTGACTAAATTCCTGTAGAGAAAGAAATCAGGGGAGAAGCAATGTTTTATTACTGTTGGCCAGGGAGGTTTTAGGTTCTAGTGATTGCTGTGTGAGCAGCTGACCGGCCTTGGGAGGATGGCAAGCCTAATCCACTTGTATCTGCGGGTCTTGGGAGAGAGAAGAGAGAGAGATGGGGTAGAAGGACAGAGAAACTCCGTCTGTTACATCTACCCTGTGTTGCTAGTACTTGTTTGAAAGCACTGGTGTTAGGACGTCCTCAAGAATTGCATTTGTATTCATCCACGCATTGTTTTCTCCTGACTAGGGTCTTGTCACCACCCCACCCCTCCCCCAAGCCTGCATCACCACCACCACGTACAACCCAGGATCATTTTACAAAGAGACAACTTTTGGCCAGTGAAAAAAGTCAGACCAGAAAGCCAGGAATAAGTTTCCCAGTTGGTTTACATTTTAACACTTTGCTCATCTAAGTGGCCCAGATTCTTAAATCATGTAAGAGAATAAACTGGTTAATGTTCTGGCTCCACTTAGTTTTGAGTTCTTGAGATTTACTGAAGCATAATCCATGACCACAATGTACTCTTTGCTTTCCACTGCCCTTGACACGCTGCACTGAGGTGCAACCCAATATGCTTGTTTGCAGCATTATTGGAAAAGAGGAGGAAGAAGCAGTCGAAGTTGAAACCGAATGCCATGGTGCAGTGTGCTGTGCACTGCAAACACAGCTGTGACCAGAGAGGACAGCTCAGGGTGCACGTGCCTGTGTGGGGCGCCCAAGGTCACTCAGCTAAGCTGCTTGCTGCACCTGTCTGCTCCCAGAGTCTGTGTTCTTCTCCCTGCTCCATGTTCCCTCTGCAAAGGAGGCGACAGTTCTTTAGGAATCCCTTCACCAATGGCAGGCGCGAGTGGGTTGTGAGAGCATTTTCCCGTTTGTGCTGAAAGAATGCTATTTGTCTACCACTGCCAAGGTCTTGCTTATGTAACTTTTCAAATGTGAATGAAGATCGAAGAGCAAGAAGTATATTTTGCAGGTGGGGATGAGAATGAACATCTACAGTTTAAATCCCCATTCCTTTTACGTGGCTGTATTGTTACTCAATATTTCACCACTTTCTTAAAATTTTCCTGAAGCCAATGTTGTGCTAAAATGAAAATTCTGGTTAGGTTTTCTGTGAGACAAAGCCAAACATTTGTCCTGCCAAAATAAAGTCTAAGACAATAAAGCATTGTGTAACTTTATACTTGCAAAGAATGATGTTTGACCAAGTCCGGCAAACAAGGTCCACACACATTCCAAAAGGTTCTTACTATTCAGAAATAATGAGCCACAGAAAAGCTGCCTCAACCTATATAATCATTTCCTTTTCATAGATCGTGGAGAGGAGTTCTGACCCTGAAGAAAACTTACTGTTCTATCTGAGAAAGAAACGTATCCTTTCACTTGTTTGAGACAGCAAGGCAAATGAGGAACTCTAGAAACTGCAATGGCCCTTGCACTTACGTAACTTTTTCCTTCTTTTGTATCTTGTTCCAAAGCATTTTCTTTGTGTAGAAGAGTGGAGGAGGGTAAGTGGCCCATCCGGCACGTGGAATGGTCTGTGACAATGGTCCCACATTGAAGCCTGGATAATGATCACCTGGCATCTGGGTTACAATGTGGATTTTTTTTTCAGCCCTACTCCCAAAGATCCTGAGTCCCTGAGACAAGCTAGTTCATGGGACCTTCTTGATCCGTAGCACATTTAGCTGAGGTTCTGGCCTCGGTCTCCAGGGCCAGCTGTGACCATGTGACCCCAGGCTGTGCTACCCTCCCTGGAACAGAGGGTTGACTGAGGGTAGCCCTTAGGAGTCAGTTGGAGCCCCCCAAAGTTAAGTCCCAAAGTGTGCCTAAGCAGTCTGCCCCCGGAGGTTGTTCTGACGGATTATCAAACTTCCAGTACAAGGTCAGACCAGACAGGTGCCCCTGGCAGGCTGGTCCTGGGTGGGTCTCAAGACTGGAAAACACATCTACACCTGCAACCAAGTGAGAAATGAGAGCCAGCAACCAGCCTGGCAAACACTGATATTTGGCCGCTGTGTGTTTGGTTTTATACTTTAAGAAAGGTGACAGAGAGGGATTAAAAGCGTCCTTAGAATATCCTGTTCGTGCACATTCTTTTCTCTTGACATTTTCACATCCGTATAATCAAATAAATGTCTCACAATGGTGTTGGTGTGTTTCCCACGTTGCCTCGGGAAACTGGCTCTAATTCACTAGATCCCTTCTGCCCAGCCCTTCACCAGTGTAAAAATGAATGGAAAGTTCAGGCATTTTTGTGTCAGATGGCTTATAGCTATTTTTCCTCTTTTTGGGCCAAATCCCTTAAGTTGTACACGTATTAGATTATTTTCCAATTACTTTGAAACACTTCCTGTTTCAAAGAGTTGATAGTGGGAAGGGTCCAATTGTATTGGAAATTTTCAATTCTCAGTGACTTGTGTACTCTTAAGTGCCTTTCTACTTCCTGACTTCATGTGAATTAAAAGAGAGAGCACTCAACTGAGATCGTATTTGGAGTCTTTCTAAACCAGGAAGGAACAGGACTTCATTTAAAAGAGAGAGAGAGAGAGAGAGAGAGAGATTTTTTTTTTTTTATTTGAAAGGCAGAGAGAGGGAGAAATCTTCCATCTACTAGTTCACTCTCCAAATGACCGCAAATCAGGAGCCTGGAACTCCATCCTGGTCTCCCACATGGGTGGCAGGGGCCCAAAGATTTGGGCCATCTCCTGCTGCTCTCCCAGGTACCCTAGCAGGGAGCTGGATCAGAAGTGGAGCAGCCAGGACTTATACCACAACGCCAGTTCCCAATTAGAGCTTTAAACTTCAGAGAAGTCCCCTCCCCTGATCCGCAGTTGAAGTTGAAGGTTTCTCCCTTGGCCGCTGGGTTATGGGGCAGCTTGGTGTGAGATGCCGCTTTCCAACTGATTTGCACGTGGCACCAATCACACGCAAGGAAGCAACGTAGTCATGAAGGACTGAACCTCTCCTTATATGTGAAAGTTTAAGGCCAAGGGACTGAGAAAGTTCAAGTTCCTCTTTTTGCCTTGACCATAACCCTTCCAGTCCGACTCACAGGGACCAAGTATGGCTGTGGAGGAGGGTCCTGTGGTGCCTGCACAGTGATGATCTCAAGATATGACCCCATCTCTAAGAAGATACGGTATCCTTGCTCCAGACTCCCATATTGATTTCTATAGGATTTCACTCCTGGCACACTGTGGCCCGTGTCCCCCTCAACAAAGGAAACTAAGCAACCTCAGTTTTTGTGACCTGGAACTAAAATAATCAATTGTAGATGTTGACAATTGGAGAGGGGAGGCCCCAGATTCAACCGGTATCTACTGGGCTATCCCACTCTCGGCCCTGGGAACCAAAGTCGCCTCCACTCGGGAAACGCACACTCTGGTGAAAGTGGTACATGACTCGCCTTACACCTGGTCTCTTCCACCTTCTGGAAGAGCACACGTAACCTAGAGGTGGTTCTGAGGGAGCAAGCTAGTTGGTTGTCTGGTCATCACAACTGACAAGCTGACATGGGCTTAGGAACAAACAGAGGCCATTTCAACTGCAGAGAGTTTTTTAAACAAGGTAGTTAATTCGGAGGGAGAAATGTCTTTCTTAATTACGAATGGTAGAATGCTTATTTTCAGGAAGATGTATTCAAGCTCAGAATCATTTATGTGATGGCCCAGCTCTAACACAATCAATTGTATTCATGATGGAAGAATTACTGTCATAGTCATCTAAACAGGTTTCTCTTTGTATTTTTTTTTTTTTTTTTTTTTTGGAAATTGCTGCTGTCACTGTGTCCTCGGCTTCACCGTGTAAACTCTGAAGTCACTTCTCTGTCACCGCCTGCCTGGTGCCCATCTGCTCTCTCTATGGGGCCGCTGTCACCACCGTAGAAGGCATAGGAAGCACCAAAACCAGGATTCACCCTGTTCAGGTAAGAGTACATGTTAACAAGTGTGGATGAACGCAGGTTCAGGTGGCTTGTCTAGACCCTTAGCTTGTGGCTTTTAGAACACGATGGGTACACTGACAGTGTGGTGCTGCATGTTAAGCCTGTGGCAGCAGCATGCCATCTGAGCACCAATTCAAGTCCTTGATGTTCCACTTCCAATCCAGCTCCCTGCTAATGCTCCTGGGCACGCAACAGAAGATGGCCCAAGTGCTTGGTCCCTGCCCATGTAGGAGAGTCAGATGAAGCTCCTGGCTTCGGCCTGGCCCATCCCTGGCCATGGCAGCCATTTGGGGAGTGAACCAGTGGATGGAAGACACCTCTCTCTCTCTCTCTTTCTTTCTCTCTCTCTCTCTCTCCCCCTCTCTCTGTAACTCTGCTTTTCAAATAAATCAATCTTTTTTTTTTTAAGGCGAAGATGGCAGATGAAGGTCTTTGTCCCCTTTATAAGAAAAAAATATTACTCTTAGTATCCTTTTTTCCCTCTTGGCTTTCTTTATTACTATTTGAAGCTTATAATGCTTCCAAAAAAGCTTGGAGAAGGCTCCCAGCCTGAGTCACTTTAGACTGTCGCATTGTCTCATGGATCCAAGGCTATCAGACTCCCTCCATGAATACCTTGGATCCTACCACAGAGACATGGGAAGGGCACCGCATGTTCTTCCTGTACCCTTTAAAGAAATGAGAAAAATAAGAAAGCACATTCCACGTTTGGTCCAGGTAAATCATGCTGTTAATTCTAGCCGGAGAAAATATTTTTATAGCCTGAATATTGGAATTTGTCATTTGTTGCTTTGATCAAGACCATATATATGTTGAAGGTGCACCCCAACTGCATTATAAATTCTTTGAGGACAAGGATCATATGTTGTTCAAAACAAGCCTTCCTGTGCCACAAGGCATTGGTATCCCACAAAGGTTGTTCACGGGGCATGGCATCAGAGGCCAGAGGGAGGGACACCATGGGCCTGTGTGTTCTCCAGCTCCAGGAAACTCCTTCAAATCAGAAGCACACAGTCAGTTGCTTTAGTCTCAGGATGAGGTTTTATAGAATAAGTTGTATCTCACGTACTGAAAACTCGTTAGTGAAAATATCCAAACAGGAATGGAACGTTGGGGACCTGCCAGGATTGGAACAAAAAGTAAGACATGGAAATGCTCAAGTTGTCCTTATAGAGAGAAACCTTGACAATATGGCCCTCCGATTGGAATTCATGTGTGTGTGTGCATGTACGTGTGTGTGTGTGTGTGTGAGCACACATGGGTATGAGGTATACCCAAGTGGTGGAAGAATGAGGAGAAAACACAAAAGCAGATAATCTCGATTTCTGTGATCTTGACTAAGCCTAAACTGCACCCTTGAAGCATGCCCTGGGTTGACATTGAGAATGCTCTTTCCCAACCACCTCAATGGAATCTTTTTCCCGAGAAAGCCTCCCTGGGCGTCTGAGATGTGAACAGTCATGGCACTTGTGGTTCTTCCTCTAAGCCCTGTACCTACTTTGAGCTGTACCTGTGCTTCATCTCTGAGAGCTTCCTAGCACTAAGCTTTCAAGTTGTGCACATCCCCCACTCCCACCTGTGTCCTTCACTTTTAGGAAAGGATTGCTAAAGGCCACGGTACCCAGTGTGGGTTCTGCACCCCAGGAATGGTGATGAGCATCTATACTCTCCTGAGGAACCACCCGGAGCCCTCTACAGAACAGTTAATGGAAACCTTGGGTGGTAAGTCACCAGCCTCTTAAATTTGTAGGATCAGGATGGGGCTGGCACTGTGGCATAGTAGGCTAAGTCTCTGCCTGCAGCACCAGCATCCCATGTGGGTTATGGTTCGTGTCCGGTTGCCCCTCTTCCAATCCAGCTCTCTGCTAGTGGTCTGGGAAAGCAGTAGAAGATGGCCCAGGTGCTTGAGAGTGAGAGACCCAGAAGAAGCTCCTGGCTCCTGGCTTCAGATCAGTCCAACTCCAACCATTGCAGCCATTTGGGAAGTGAACCAGCGGATGGAAGACCTTTCTCTCTGTCTCTCCCTCTCTTTGTCTATAACTCCACCTCTCAAGTAAATAAATAAAATCTTTTAAAAATGGGGATCAGGATGCTAGAGCATTTTCATCCAAGGAATTAGGCCACAGGGCTTGACAAAGATGTACTGATTGATCATTATGATCCACACCTCGTGAGTACTATTGGCAAATGTTTTCCATACCAATTTAGCAATCGAGGAAACAGGCAACCAGCCAGAAAGTAAAGTGAATTTTCCATGTGACTATTCCATTCTTGGGGCCATATCAATTGTTTCTGGCAACTTCAGTGTGCTCTGTATTTGCATAGCATACACTTACTAAAACAGTCTTTGCATGGGTGTCACTGATGAATCACAATGCTATTGGAATGGTATTTGGTAATATTTGGGCTTTAACATCTTTTAAATATGTACTTACAGCTGGCCAGAAAAGCAGTGACCTTTTGGGTTGTGTTTTCTTGTTTTTTGTGACTGTTGCTGTTACAGCTGCTGCCAAAGTATTCTTAATGCTTATGAAATCACAGACCCTTTGGAATTAAGGAGAAAATCACTTATAACTTATAAACTTGCATTCAGTTGAAATGCCTTCAGAATTCTAGAATGGCATTTCCCTTTTTTTGTACCTTTAGGAACATTTTTATTCTTATTAAATTTCATATTTATGAGGGTACTTCAAAAGTTTCATGGAGAATGGTATTAAATTATAAGTTTCTTTGGTGCAAATATTGTAAAATCCATACATACTTTTTCATAATGTTCATTTTCCATGAGCTTTTGAAAGGCTGCTTGTATGCATAGATTTCAAAGTGTTCTTGTGCCAATATAAACCTGTATTTTAATTCCATTTTCCTTCATGTTTTGAAGTACCCTCATGCATTCCATCCTGTCAAGATACTTTTTCAGTTTTCATGTTGTTTGCAAATCTAAAAACATTGCCTACTGTCTTTATGTAAGTCATTGACAAACACTGAACAGAATAAGTCAAGCAGAGAACTCTGAGAAATTAATCAATGCTGTTCACATTGCTCTGTTTCATCAAGTGCCACGCATTGACCTTCATCCATCCTCTCCTCAGAGGCACACAGGTGGGTCCCATGCACTGTGAATTCCCCGTGCACTGCTTTTATGGCACTGAGCAGATTCTCAGCCTAGAATTCTTATCCCCAAAGGAAGTGGGGTTAGTTTTCTTGAGTATCCACCCTTTCCCATGCTCCTAGGCCCTTCCAGCAATCCTCTATTCCAAAATGGATCCAGGAAACTGCCTGGGAAGGAAGCCAGCCTCACCTAATATCGGTCTTTTTGGAAACCAGGATCTATGATTGCTTGTCTCCAGTGTTCAAACACTGCCCTTGTTTATCATGTCTCACAAAGATTACTAATCATGTTTCACAACCTCATTTGCAAATTATTTCAAGATCCTGGGATGTAATTCATCTTGATTGATCTGACCCCTTGAATAAATTTAAAGAGGCTAAATGTTCTCTTAAAATTTTCTTGTGGAGCGGGTGTTTTGCCTAGCGATTAGGCTGCCCGTATCCCAGGGCAGAATGTCTGTGTTCAATTCCAAGCTCCACCCCCAATTCCAGTTTCCTGCAAATCTGGAATTTGGGAGGCAGCAGGTGATTGCTCAAGTGAACAGTTCCCTGCAACCCGCGCGGGAGATCTGTATTGCATTCCTGCTCCCAGCTTCAGCCTGGCAATTGGGACTGAACCAAGAGTGGGAGCTCGCTCTCTCTGTTTCTCTCTCTCTCTCTCTCTCTGCCTTTCAGAAAAAAAAAATCTCTGTGGATACTGGGCTTCAAGTCTTTTTAAATCAGACATATTTCATGCTTTTGGTTCATCAAACATCCCTTTGGTGAGAAATACAGAAGTAAAAAAAATGAAGCTGTTCTGCCTTTCTCTGACATCTGTTAAAACGTCCACCTTTCCTGGGCAGCGTGTTTGCTCTGTGTCCTGGAAAGTGTGCTTTGGTGCTGGTAGCATTTCCCACAAGTTCTATCCTAGTCTGGTATTTGGCCAGCTTGGCCCCACTGTGTGCCACACGTTTTCTCTTCATCTTTAGTTTGGCCCTCTGACTGTCATCATTGTTCTTCTTTCGTCATCGCTACTGAGAGAGCAAATGTGATCCAGCCCCCTCTCTTATTTCTTCCATATTCACAGTCATAGTCTCCACATTTCAGTTCAACAAGCTTCCTATGCCTTGTATGTTATGTTCCCTTTCAACACTTCCTGGCCAATCACTGCTCTATGTGTTTTGAAATCGGCTTTTCATATCCTGTGGCTCCCAAACAGCATCCAACATTCTTCTCTTTCCATGACGCTCTCCCTGTACCTCTGTCACGTCATTGTCATATCACAGGCTTTATGATTAGCTTGACAGCCACACCCTTCATTGAGTCCTCTTACTTTAGAGACACGCAAGAATTTTCCAGCCGCTCTTCTTTTACAAGAGGTAGACGTTCTCAAACCTGAGTCACTGAAGGTCTTTCCCCAGATGAAGGTCTTTCCCCCCGCTCTGTTCCAGTTTTGCAGTTTGCTTTGGAGAAGTTCCATCCATACCTTTTATTGCACCTGGTGGCCTGGGTTATCCTAAACCCCTGGAAGTTCAATGTTGGTTCCACTGGTATGGCAGTATCGTGGGTATGAAGGGCCCCAATACAGCTATGGGAGATGCTGAAACGAGGTGTTCAGACAGAACCAGGAAACGCTAAGGAAGCTGAGCTCAATAAAGAGAAAGTGAAATTCTCTGAATCTGGCCAAAAACTAAGGGGCTAGGGGCAGATACCAAAAGCCAAGAAGGTTGAGAATCAGAGGATCCTATGAAAAATGTAGTGAAGTTGGGAAACGAGGGGTGAATCTGGACCATGACCTTCGGCAAGCGTTGTGGCCCGTAGAGTGATGCACAAGACCCTCTTAGGCTAATTTATGTCTGTGTCTCCTTAAGCTTCCACTCTTTTTTCCTGTATGGGTCCTAAAAGTGTCCCAAATGTGCACTCATGTAAATATTTTAGGAGTGGGCATTTAACCTAGTGATTAAGATACTGATGAAGACTCCACATCAGATTGCCTGCAATCAAAGGCCAGCTCCAGTTCCTGACTCCAGCTTCCTGTTAATGCAGACCCTGAGAGGTAGCAGTGATGGCTCAAGTAACTGAGTTCCTGCTATGTCACTCCCCCTCTTCGAGGAGGAACGACACATGACCCTGCGCTGTTCTTTTGTCTGCTCGGCCCTTCCCGGGTTTGCTGCTGGTTCTTCCTGGGTTGGCTGCCGTCCCCTCCACCTCTGTGGAGGGGCGGCTCCCCCTGCCACTTTCCCCACTTTCGCGGGGGAGCGGCACACCGCCGGCCAGCTCTCTCGGGGGCTGCTCAGATGTTATCCGGATGTTCCTGGTGCATGGTGTCTCTCTCCTCCTTTATAGTCCTCTTCCACCAATCCCAATTCTGCTACCCACACGCCGAGCACGCTGCTCTCCTCCAATCAGGAGCAAGATCAGCTCCTGCAGTTTATCAGTCAAGTTGGCGAGAGGCAGCTGTGTAGAAGTTGTTTACTCCCTTTCAGCGCCATATTGTGGGAGAGCAGATGCATATAATAAGTCCTAATTCCAGTAACTTAGTTTAGTCCGAGTTGCTCCCCACACTGCTACCTACATGGGAGACCTGGATTGTGTTCTTGGCCTCAGGTTTCATCCCTGGTCCAGTCCTGGCTGGGAACTATGGCCTCAAACATGCTTCTCTAATCTTTGTAAAAAGTACTACCTCTGTGTCAGGATCCATTTTTCCAATATCTTGAGATGTTTTAATACCATCTGGCGGCCATCAACACTGTAAAAGACCTGAGATTTTAGCCTACTCACAAGCTAAAGTGTTAGCTGGCCACAGTTTGATGGATGCTGATAGGAGACACTGGCCACAGTTTGATGGATGCTGATAGGAGACACGAGACTCTGGTCGGAGACAAAGGACTTTGTTATTCATAGTGATAGCATAGCTAGAATAGTAGCATCTGAAGCAATACCTCGAGGCCCACATCCCACCAGGCAATGTGAAGAGAGCGAGCTGATGCCTTCCTGTGCAGTGGATCTCACTGCAGGAGAGGAACCTTGAACTTAGGGAACTCAAGTCTTTCCTAATGGGCAGTAAGCCTCCCAGGATGTGACGTCATCTTTCTTGTAGTGGACAGTAGGCACATCTGCTCTCCTAGGCATGAAGATACACTATTTTTCTTCTAAGGTTCTTCACTACACAAACATCCATGAAAAGACACTGTCACACAAAACAGTCGTGCTCCTGCCCACGAGATGTGTACACTTCCGAAACACAACTTCCTCTTTCCATGGCCCTGCTCTTCAGGGGCTCCCTATTCTGCACCCTTTCCCAGAATGCACCTCAGGAATATATGTCTTCCAATAATGCTGGTTCAATACGGAAAACCTAGGGGGATTTTTAAGAGCTGATTTTTAGGGGAGAGAGGTGATGGGAGACCTAGCTGTGAATGAGGGAGCCAAATCAGGGGCAGAGAGAAATGGGTTCGGGTTGAAACGTTGTGTGTTTCCTTCCCCCTAGGTAATCTATGCCGCTGTACTGGATACAGACCCATTGTGGAGAGCGGGAGAAGTTTTAGTCCTGTGAGTATGAAACAATGGGTAGCCCCAGGGTCGTGCCCTCCTCCGCCTGCCCCTGCCCTGCCCTCCGCCTGTGTGAGGTTGGCCGTCAGGGAAAGCATAGTATTAGGTGTGAGAGAAAATGGCTTCTCACTTTGCCCATCTCGGTGGGGGTAACTGGATGTTTTTCTCAGAAGTACAGACAGGGAGCTCCTCGAGTGAGTATAAAATAGCGTCTTCTATAGAAGCGAAAACGGGTCAGGGCCTCTTCCTCCCGGCCTGCTTTGCGAGAGGGAAGGAGAGAGGCGGGTCTTCTGCTCCGGCGGTCGCTTCAGCCGCACTTGGGACGGCGTCACCGCCTAAGCGAAGCATTTTCGTGAATTAGAGGCCGATGTCCTCGCTGACGGAGATTCCGTCTTCCATGAACACGCGTGGCTAATGGGGGTGACAGGAGCGGCCATGCTCATCCTTCACGCCGTGTGGAGCCGGCAGCCCCCACGCCACCTGCCCATCCACAGAGCCTCCGGTTGCCCCTCTGTCCTGCCCACTCTGGCTGTCACTCAGAGCACTCTGACGGACGTATGGGTTTTGTCCTAGCCCAAGCACTTCTCCAGCTCTGTGGACGCCAGCTGGCTGTCCTACCACTGAATTCCATTCCCACGCTGTTTCTCTGGCGTTAGCATCAAGTCCGGTAGGGCAAGCGTTCGGGCCCAGCGGAGGCCCTCCGCAGATGGCCATCACGAGGCTGCGCCTCTGGCGTTCCCTACCGACCAGCTCCAAACGCAAAGCTCCCACAACCCTCTCCTTGAGTGTGATAATTGGCTCGAATGGCTCACAGCACTCAAGGGAAAGCTCCACTCCTGTTTGCTGCTTTGTGATGAAGGATCCAGGTGGAGAGGTACACGGACAAGGTTCGCATGGGGCCCGAGCCCGGGAGCTGTCTCCAGGGAGTAGAGGGGCACACCCCACCCCATCTCCCCCAACACACCAACCAGAGGCCCTCAGCCCTCCCTGCTCAAAAGTTCACAGGCTGGATCCCAGCCCTCCCTCTCTCCCCAGAGGTAAATGGATGAGGCTGGAAGTTTCCACCCTGTATCCCCCGTCTTGTCCCAAACTGAGGCTGTCTGCAGGTCCCCTCCTAGTCACCTCATAGCTAGCGTCAACTCAGGTGTGATTCTATAGGGTTCATGATGAATTAAAAAGCACTCCTACCAGTTGGAAAATTCCAAAGGTTTTAGGAGTTCTTTGGCAGCAACTAGGGACAATGACTAAAAAAATTTTATTGTGTCACTCCCCTCTCCTCAGAGAAGAAACAACATACAAACCCTCTATAGAAACTAGCTAATGAAGACTATGTGGAATCATCAATTTTTTAAAAGTACAAGCTTCTTCTTGCAAAAATATACCCTATATAGTGGAGAAATTGTGTATCCAGAGATATTTGGATTCCAAGTGACAAAGTTAAGATGGTGACAAAAGAGACCATGTAAGAAAATATGTCTAAAAGAAAGGTAGAATGGAGAGGAGAGAGCTATACAAACAAAGCAGACATGAATAATCCATATAAAACATTCGTTATTGTACCTCACAGCTCTAAATATTGCTATCCACCGGAGCTGGAGAAGTAAGACAAATTGCAATAAAATCTATTTGCTTGTTCATTCATTATTTGAAATTATGGGCTACAGAACCTAGGCATTCTCCGTCATCAGCTATTTTTCACATCCCATTTCCTCATGGATTTAAAGACTGGTTGAATCAATTTAATTGCTTAGATCAGGTGGGAAGATAAGCAGAGAATAAGCCTGGACCAGATTCCCAGGCTGAAATAGGTGGAGGGGTCAAAGATTGAGCATTGGGAGGACTCTCCAGTGGGGCCCATCCCCTGGGTCTGGAGTGGCTTAGGAGGCTCCAGGAGCCCCGGGCCTTTCAGTCCTCCTGGGGAACACCTGCTCCCCACTCCACTCTTTGCAGAGGTTGTTTTGGAAACCAAATGCATTAATATTTAGCAGAATGAACAGGATGAGAACAATGCCTGAACTGTGGCAGGCAATCAAACAACTGCAGCTATTAATCATTAGAGGGACTGCGAAGCTGTGTTTCACAAGGCGGAACTCGGTTATCAAAAGGCGTGCATGATGGGTGTTATCCCAGTGGTTAAGACATTCACATCCCACATCAGAGTGCCTGCTGGAGTCCTAGCTTGGCCTCCTGACTCCAGATTCCTGCTCATGCAGGCAGCAGTGGTGCCTCAGGTTGTTAGGTTCCTGTCCTGGGTGCCAGTTCGAGTCACAGCTGCTCCACTTCCAATCCAGCTCCCTACGAATGCACCTGGGAAAGCAGCGGAGGACAGCCCAAGTCCTTGAACTTCTGTACCCATATGGGAGACCGAGTAGAGGCTCATGGCTCCTGGCCTCAGATCACCTCAGCCCCAGCTGTTGTGGCCATTTAGGGAGTGAACCAGTGGACAGAAGACCTCTCTTTCTGTCTCTACCTCTCTCTGTAACTCTGTCTTTCAAATAAATAAAATAAGTCTTTTAAAAAAAATATGGTTACCAGAGGCTGGAGAGGGAGGGATTGGGAAAGATTGATTGACAGGTACTAGGTTATAGTTAGCTAGGAGTTATAAATTCTAGGGCTCTATTGCACAGTAGGATAAAGATGGATAATGTTAAATCTACTATATATTTCTTATAAAAAAGCTAGAAGATAAGATTTTTGAATGTTTTATCTATAAAGAAATGATAAATACTTAAAGTATATTTATCCTGATTGGAAATGACACAATGTGTACATATTACAAAATATCACATAGCCTCCCCATTATGGGTGCAATTTTATATGTCTGTTACAATGTGGTAAGTACAAAATTAAAAACATATGTAATTTGATAAACTGTGTAACTTTTCTAAGATTCTGTCTTCTTATCTTTAAATGGGATTATGATTACAATGTGTAAATTATTCCTCACTGAGCATATACTGAGTGTTCAGCAGAACCTATACTATAGCTTGTAACTATTCACCATGTCTTAGTCTGCTTTGTGCTGCTGTAACAGAATATCACCGACTAGTCAACTTAAAATGAATAGAAATGTATTGGCTCACAGTTCTGGAGGTTAGGACATTCGTGATCAAGGTCTGCACCTGGTGGGGGCCTTGTTGCTGTGTCATAACAAGGCAGGAGGAGTCACACTGGCAGAAGGGAAACAGAGTGTGCGAGAGACAAAAGGGGACTGAACTAGGTCTTTATAAAGAACCTACTCCCAGCAAAACAAACTCACTGCTTTCATAATGGCATCATTCAATTCATGAGGCTGGAGCCCTTATAACCAAAACACCTCTTAAAGGTGCTATCTTACAGTGCCATCACAATGGCAATTAAGTTTCAATGTCAGTTTTGGAGGGAACAAACATTCAAACCATAGCAAGCCACTACCACCACCACCATCATCTCCATTGTCACCGTCACCATCACCACTATTACCATCATCACCATCACCACCACCACCATCACCATTACCATCACCATCACCACCACCGCCATCACCACCATTACCATCATCACTCTGGATTCTCTAATGTTGCCATTCTTGTTTTCTTCTATAGAGTTCCTCTTGCTGCCAAATGAATGGGGGAAAGAAATGTTGCTTGGATCAAGAAGAAAGCAAGGCTGAGAGCAAAGCTAATGTAAGAGTTTTTCTCGGTGTGTCCCTCTCCTCTTTTTCCTGCGGCTTTTCTTATCCCACCGATGTAGTGTGAGAAGCCTGACTAACAGGGTTTGGTGCTGGTAGTGGGGCTTGGGAAAGTTCTAAAAACAGTTGTTTTTCTCTCAGTCCTTCTATCCATTTCCTCCCACTGATCCTCGTATGCTACACACCCATGTCTACCTGGTAGGAAAGGGATCCCCTTGGTACTGTACCTGCTGGAAGTGGTCATTATCCAAAGATGAGACCAGCTTGGTGACTCCAGCTTTGGCAAGAGTGAACCTGTTCATTAAATGCCAATTTTTCTAATAATTGATGTTCAGTATTAACCTTACTGCCCATCTTTGCAGCAGATGGCTCATAAAGACAATAGAAATTAGATAGTATCTGGAAAATTAAAATTTTCTACATATACATTATTTGATTCAGCAAGTCCACTGCCAGGAATCTATCTGAGAGAAATAATTAAAGGGCGGTCAAAGATTTGATGATATACAGAAGTATTTATTACAATGTTATTTATAGTAACAAAAAATTAGAAATAATTAAATTTTCAACAATGGTGGATTATTTAAATACATCAAAGCATAGCCATACATAAGGACTTATGCTATGTTAGAAAATCCTTTGTGTGTCATGTTTAAAATTTTGAAAATAAAAATTATTTCTTTGAAGTTAAAAAGGAGTATTTAATATTTGAGCACTCTAACACCAAATTTGTAGGGGAACATTGTCACTATACACAGAATAAGCTCATACATACAGAGTGAGACGAGGGCAGAAGTTAGTACATATCTGTGCACAGTTGTATTATGAAGGAATTTTACTTTCTTCTGTATTATTTTTCAGCAATTCTACAAAGTATTTTTACATAAACATGTGTAAGTCTTTTAATCACATGCAAAAACGTGTTTCAACAAAAAGCAGTTTCCATGGGTGGAAACGCTATTCCCTCTAAAAGCCACATTTGCTGAATTCTTGGGAAAGACTGGGACTGGATAGGGGATACTGTAAGGATCGCTGTGAGCTGCTTCCCTAGGGGCCACCAAGCATCACGGTCTAGAGAGACAGAGAAGGCCAGGCTTGGCCCGAACATTTACAGGCCCAAAGATTGTTTTCTATTCCCACCCCAGTCCTGTCCTACATCACAGATTGGACACCCAGCTCCTATGTCCAAACCTCATCTATTCCTCCAACAGCTGCCCTTAGCCACAGCTCGGGTCTGGGCATTGGGTCTCTCTGGGAGGATGGACTGGAGCAGGGGCCGGCGTGGGCCCTGGAAGCGGTTTGGGGACTCTTGGACAGGGAATTCCAAGGTCGTGGGGACCCACAGCTTCTGTCTGGAAGATGAGCTGTAGGCTGAGTGGAAAGTCCCTTGTCCCTGAGGGTTTCTTTGTCCCTTGGGGAGTGGCATGGTGAGAAGGGGGCCAGAGCAGGAACCCAGTTACCTTGAGCCTCAGGGCAATCCCAGAAATGGGCTCCTTGAGCTGCACCTGATGCTCTGACATCAAAAGAAATACAAATAAGAGTGAACTCCAGGAGGGCAGGCCTCTGACATAAAACGGATCATTCCACAAAACCTAACAAAGGGCTTGGTCTACACATCACGCATTCTTCTGCTGTTACTTTCCCTACTTCACCTACCCCCCAAGCATCAACTGATCACCCCTACTTCCTGTTAGCACTTCTCATGGGTGAACCCTCCTGGCACTGGAGCAGCCACCAGTTGGAGTAGATCTGCTGAAAAGCCATTTCTCCCTTTGAGCTGGGACCGCTGCCGGTAGCACAGCTACACCCTGCTGCTTCTGCACTCACCCCCCAGCTCCTTTCCAGCTAAGCCCTTCGTCTCATTCACTCCTGAGAGTCCAGGTGACGGCGCCATAAATGATCTTCAAAGCCATAGCTCTTCTTTTCTCTGGCCCTTCCCTCACAAACCCCAGCACAACTCCCTCCTTCCTCTCCATAGCACCCTCTCGTGACGTCCATGGTTATGCTGACATCATCATCATCTTTTATGTTTTCCCCCCAAGAGCTGAACCCTCACGGTTCTCACAGAGACAGGTTCTGGAGCAGCTGAGCCTTCTCCTCTGCACTCCCCTCCCCTGCCCCAGACTTCTTCCTTCAGGCTGAGATTATTGCAAGATTCCCCTCCTGGGCGCCTACCTGCCAACACCACCCATCTGACCCAACTCATGGCAGAGCTCTCAGCATCGCCGAGGAAGCTTTTCTGCAATTCAGTCTTCCTGGATCAGCCAGACCTCGCTGTGGTGTGGTCCAAGAACAGCTCTGAGCTTCTCCTCACCTGCCCCGGGGGACAGGTGCAGCAGTCTGCAGGCCTGGGCTGGGAACCACAGAACACTGTCTAATTCATCTTCTTAGAAATGCCAAGTGACTCCCATTGGCCCCAAAATATGACCTCAAGTCTGAAGCCTGCTTTGAAGACTTTGCATTGTCCCAGCCAACCTGCTTCTCACCCTGTCTCCTGCCAGCTTCTTCCCTTGGAGTCAGGAGGGTGTGCTGGACTTGGTTCTGCATTCCACAGATGGCCTTCTCTCTGCGTCGGGGCTGGCTCCATCCCCTGTTCCCCCACCTCCTCCAGGAAGCCCCTCGCCCACTCACTCCCTGACTTCCTGGGGAGTTGTCCTGGTACCACTCTTTGACAACTTGGTGTCTGCTACCCATCTTTGCAGTTCATCTCCACTGCCACGTCCAGGGCCAGGCACAGAGCAGCTGCCTAATAACGGCCAGTTTGGTTCTGCTCGCCCATGCCCAGCCATCTCCAGCCAGGGTGAAGCTGAAGGTCCTATCCATCTATCCCTGTCCAGGCCTTTCCGACCGGAGAAACTTGACCGCTAGTGATGGCGATGCTCTTCAACCTTTGACTTTGTTTTTGTTGAAAAGACTAAACCATGAGTTTCTTCTCCTAAGGTTTGCACCAAGCTGTATGACAAGGAAGAATTCCAGCCCTTGGACCCAACACAGGAGCTTATATTTCCACCTGAACTAATGGTATGTTCTGTTCGGTCTCTTCCTCTGGGTTGAGTTCTCTTTGGATTCTGGCTGTGAGGAAAGGAGCAGTCCCATCAGCCCAGTACTATTAGCCCTGCGGTGTCTTTGTACTATTGTCACCCTCCTCAACCTGTGAGAGGCTTTTTTTCTCCAGATTTTGCCCCTGGGCAGATCCACTCTGTCCCTAATCGCTCATCTAATGGAAGCTTTCTCCCTTGGAGTCCAGAACAAGACATCACAGGATCTGTTCTGTGATGTCTATTCTATTCTTTATTCAGATTCTGATTCAAGGCAAATTCAGGATACACACTGTGTGCATGCAGGTGAGGGCAGTTCCAAGCTTCCTATCTGAGATCATCTAACAGGGCTCAGAGCATTTAACTGCTTCCTTTCCTTTATCTCTTTAAATTACTCCTTTAGGCATGGATTTCACAAACTTCTACTTGGGAGCAGGGCACTTGGGATACTGAAACAAACAATCTGTGTGTCCCTAAGGAGCTCCCAGGCAAATGGAGGAGCTAGACTGGGTGTCAATAACGGGGCAACAGAGCCTGCAGACTCATGACTCAGCTTCTAAGCATTGAGCAGAGAGCCAGAGGTGGGGTAGGGTGGGCTTTCCAAGAGGCTCCTCCAGCGAGCCAAGCTGGAGCTAAAACTTGGATTCTCCATAGATAATATTGGGAAGTGGGAAAGGGGAAGAAATGGAATATGGAGAAGAACTGCTGGGCAAAGGGGCAATCACGTGCGCTGGCCTGTGCCAGGGTGAGACTATCAAGAAAAGACAAGCAATGGAGATGACAAGGGCGTGGTGCACCGGAGGCTTCCTCCTATTTCCCTCTTCATCCCCTAGAGTGAGGTGGAGGCAGGCAGAGGCCAGATCCGGATGAGTTTCATGGACAACACAGAGCCATGAAAGGACTTTGACTGGGAGAGAGTCTTACCGTGTCTACAGTTCTGAAGGCTCCCTCTGACTTCTGTGTGCAGAAGATTGGGAGGAGCCACAGAGGAGTGCAGGGGGGCAGGGAGTTATCCTGTGGCCCAGGAAAGAGCCAATGGCATCAAAGATCATGGTGTGGGTAGTGGAGATGGAGAGAAGGTGCGATGGGAGAGATATGTAAGAGAGATAATCAATTGGATTTTGCGGTAGATTGGATTTAAGTTGAAAAAGGAAGGGGTTGGCATCGTGGCATAGTGGGGTAACCCACCCCCTGCGATGCTGGCATCCCATACAGGCACTGGTTCGTATCCCAGCTGCTCCACTTCCGATCCAGCTCCCTGCTAACACGCCTGGCAAAACAGTAGAAGATATCCTGGGTTTGGACCCCTGTACCTGCATGGGAAAGCCAGATGGAGTTCTAAGTTCTGGCTTTGGCCTGGCCCAGTCCTGGCCATTGTGGCCAGTTGGGGAGTGAACCAGCAGATGGGAGATCTCTGTATCTCTCCCTCTCTCTAACTCTGTCTTCCAAATCCGTGTCAAGAGTGACCTCTAGGCACGTAGGAGCAGAGAACATCCAGCCCCAAATGAGGCCGGTGAAATCATTTAGTCTGACCCTGCAGAGGCAACCCAGACAGAACTCAAAATTCAATAAATCCATAGCAGGCTAATTTTTAAGTTGATAATTGTATATGGTCTGTGAATGATGTTACAAATATCCAAATGACCCGTGGCAACAAAAATGTTCCCCACCCCTGGTAGAGTTTGCACAATGAGTTACTGAGTTAGGGATATGGAGTCAAGCCACTTTACAGGGCGCAGATCAAGAATTCAGATTTTCACATCCTAGCCTGAGATCCTTTTAACAAACCCAAAGAGACGTGTCAAGTGGGTAGTTGAAAGCTCAGAGACGCGGTTAGGGCTGATTGTATAAACTGTCAAGTAACCGGGATCAAAACTGTGGACACAGTTGAAAGCTTAGCTGAGAAGACAACTTGGATCTAAGTCCAAGGGAATTCCAGTGGCTAACGAATTAGGTAGAAGAACAAGTAGACCCGAGAGATGGGGTGGCAGAGGTCAGCAAGCAGGCATAACCATCAGGATCCGGAGGCATCCAGAAGTGAGGGAGGAGAGCGTTTTCAGGGTGGTCAGACACAGGGAATGAGCTGAGAGACCTGGTGGGCTGAGAGGGAAAGGGCACTGCGGCCATGCACTTTGCAAAAGCAGGGAGGACTGTATTGAGGAGAAAGTAGGAAGGCAAGAAACAGAGAGGATGGCTTACCAGAGTGCTTCGCAGAACCAGCAGAGGGAGAGAAAATGTACAAGGCAATAGCTCGGGGGAGTCTGGGGATGAGCAGCTTTGCGTTTTGCCTTCTCCATTAGTGGCCGAGTCTGGCAAGTATTTAAATACCGATGGGAAGAATAGAAGTTAAAAGAGATACTGAATCATTAAGAGGTGGAAGGAGAGGTCTGGATGGCCAGACCCCTTTCTCTATTTCTTTCAGAAACCTTTCACTAAAACAGTCCTTCCAAGTCTGGGGGAAAGCCCCTGGGCACCCCGCACAGCTCTGTCCACCTCGGACAGGGCGACTCTAGTCACGATCGATTCCAGTCACGATTGCTGCTTTCTTTCTTTTTTTTAATTTTTTATTTATTTTATGACAGACAGAGTGGACAGTGAGAGAGCGAGACAGAGAGAAAGGTCTTCCTTTATCCGTTGGTTCACGCTGCAATGACCGCTGCGGCCGGTGCACCGCGCTGATCTGAAGCCAGGAGCCAGGTGCTTCCTCCTGGTTTCCCATGCGGGTGCAGGGCCCAAGCACTTGGGCCATCCTCCACTGCACTCCCGGGCCACAGCAGAGAGCTGGACAGGAAGAGTAGTAACCGGGACAGAATCCAGCGCCCCGACTGGGACTAGAACCCGATGTGCCTGAGCCGCAGGCAGAGGATTAGCCTAGTGAGGCACGCCGGCCACGATCACCACTTTCTCCCCAGGCCGTGGGCTTGAGTGGCCCCGGGGGAGAAGGGTTGACTGCTGTTTCCCCATTCCCCAACACCATGATTCTCACTTTTTTGGTTTCAGAGCCACTTACCCTTAAAGCTTATGAACATGTGTGGTCTGAAAGTAAAGCTAGAAAATGTCTTACACTCACAAGTCACAAGAGAAAGCCCGTTGAGCAATAGCACAAATAGCATGGGGAATTATTATATTTTTCCACCAGAAAAATCAGTGAGAAGAGTGAGCATTTTTGTAAATCTCTCTCATAGTGGTTTAAATAAAAAGGCAGCTGGATTCACATATCTGCTTCTACATTCAGTTGGTGGTGATTGCACACATCATGTAGACTTTGTAAAACCCCACCGCGTGCTCGGGAGAGAATGAGAAGGAAGAAAATTTCTACCTTTCGTTATAAAGTTGTTTTGACCTGGGGACCCCTGAGAGGACTTCCAGGGCCCCCAAGAATGCCTGGACTACACTTTGAGAAGTGGGCCTGATGAGAGGAACACACCAATTATTTCATTTATCAGGATTTGAATTCATTCCTGGGGACTCCCACCTTGCTGTCTGGCTTTCCAACAAAACACATAACTTAAAGCAATGCTGGCAGAATCCTTATGATAAAGAATTCTCATTTAGCCAACCTGTCTTTAAGTTTTGTTCCATTTCCAACAGCTTCCGCCGTGATTTTTGTTCGATGTGGAATTATTCAGCCTGAAATCATCTACAGAGACAATGGAAATTTCACTGAAAGCTTTGGCCTTTTGATGGTTCCTACTCAGAAAACAATACTTGTGCATAAAATGTTCTTGCTGGGGCATCATCAAAGTTAATTACCAGCAAATTAAACAATTCAATTCCATCTTGAGAAACGGTTCCCTGGCTTATTATTAACCAACAGAAGTGGTTTCAACTAGGCCTCCTTCAGATGCATGGAGTGATTTCAGTTCCACAGGGCCCAGGGCAAGGAGCCCTTGGGTTCATGGCCTGTTTCTGTTAATCACCTGTATCACCTTGACCAGGTCACTTCCCCTCTCAGGCCTCACTGCTTTGTTTTCTGTAAAACAAGATCGGTGGTTCTCAGTACAGAAGCAATTAGTATTCAAGGGCTTTTCCTTGAATGCCATGTTTTTTGTTGAACATCATTGAATTGCAGTAAATTTAATTAGATTTCATGGAATAAAGGCAATTTTAGATCTAGAAATTATGACTGGATTAGGTGATATCTGAACCAAATCAAAACAGGGAGCAAAAGCATCCATTAAAAAAGAAAAGAGAAAATTAAGACTACCTGAGCCAGCATGGGCAATGTGCAAATTGCCCTTGTACGTATTTATCTCATATTTGTCTTTCCCACCTTATTTTTTTTTTAAGATTTATTTATTTATTTGAAAGTCATCATTACACAGAGAGAGGAGAGGCAGAGAGAAGAGAGAGAGAGAGAGAGAGAGAGAGAGAGGTCTTCCATCTGATGGTTCACTCCTCAGTTGGCTGCAACGGCAGGAGTTGCGCCGATCTGAAGCCAGGAGCCAAGAGCTTCTTCCGGGTCTCCTACGTGGGTGCAGGGGCCCAAGGACTTGGGCCATCTTCCACTGCTTTCCCAGGCCATAGCAGAGAGCTGGATCGGAAGAGGAGCAGCTGGGACTAGAACCGGTGCCCAAATGGGATCCCAGTGCTTTAGGCCAAGGCGTTAACCGACTGCGCCACGGTGCCAGCCCCATTTCCCACCTTATTTTAAAATTGTTTTATTTTTGACACAGAAAAATTACTCATTTTATGGGATACCATGTGCTGTTTTGATTCAAGTACACTAGTGTAATGTCCACTCAGGGTAGAGAGATCTATCTCCTCAAACACAATCCACCTTGTCACCTGCCACAGCCATTATTTTAGAGAAAAAAATGTAGTCATTCAAGTAACCACTATTCTACTTTTAGATCAGAGAAAAGACCAACTTTAATCTAGTGCTTGAAAACCCGCAATGTTGCTTGGGAAGCAGTAAATGGTTTGTGAGAGGAAGGGCCCCACTGGCTCTAATAAACCCAGCATTCTTTGTTTCCACTGTATTTCCACTGCTCAACAAAACAGCCAGCCTTACTCCATACTTCAGTGAGATCTGAGAACCGAAAGGCTTCTCATATCATCTACTCAAATCCCTAATTTTCAGATACAGCAACCTAGCCTGGAGAGGTTCCAGGGCTTCCCTAAGTCCTCCAGACTACTTAGTGGATAGGCTGGGATTAGAATCTGGCTCCTCCACCTCCAGATGTGGTCAGTGAATTTCCATTCGACAAGCTTGCCTGATAATAAATGGCACACAACCCTCTGTGCAATACAGCTCCCCGTTGGTGTTTTCTTACTATTTGTAACTTAGTCATGATTTCTTCATTTGGAAGTCTGATGTTGTAAATCTCCGTGGGACACAGGATTCTTGTTTGTTTATAAGACTTCATTAAAATCCACTTAGTTCTTTTCAAGCTATAAGAGATGGAAAACAAATCACACAAAAGAGTGGATTTAATTGTAGACAGATGGGAGCGTTGTCCTGCCAGTACCAGCCTTTGTGATCCCTGGTGGGATCCATTGTTCTGTGTGTGAGTTGCAATGAAGTCTGTGTATTTTGTCATTGACATCAGCATTAAGTCTGCATTATCTCCTGCAGAGAATGGCAGAAGATCCCCAAAAGAAAGTTCTGACTTTCCACGGGGAGAAGACTACCTGGATTTCCCCAGGAACCCTGGCAGGCCTCCTGGAGCTGAAGATGGAGCACCCCGATGCACCTCTGGTGATGGGGAACACTTCTCTAGGTAGGTAGTGGAGGACCCGGTTCCCTCTTCTCTATTGAAAATCCCAATTAGTGAAAGTTCTGGAGTCTGCTCAGAAATCCAAACACATACCTGATGATTCAGACTCAACCCCTTGCCTGGTTGATGGCCAGCTTGTTACAAGATTAATATCTCTGGTTCCTGAAGAACAGTTTGTCCAGCAGAAGGCGATTAGATTTCTCTGAGGTTACATTTTCCCCGCTTTCAGGCATCAGTGACTAGTAAAGCAGCTGTTTCTGTCATAGGGTTCTAGGATGAAGAAATCCACAGATGTTTCACTGCTTGGGTCAGACTCAGTTCAGATGTAGGGGGACTTTGTTTATTAGGCCTATCACAAACACTTCTAAGTCTTAGCATTACTTGCTAAATGAGATCTCAATCGCTTCTTTCCCACTAACGAGAATTCTTCTATCTTTTAGGGCCTGATATGAAGTTCAAAGGAGTTTCCCCTCCCATTATTATCTCTCCTGCAAGGATATTGGAATTATTTATTGTGACTAACACAGAAGAAGGTGTGTTCTCATTTACCGTAACACGGTGCTTGTGTTGCAGATGGTTCTGTTAAAGAAAGCTCGGGCTGTTTGACACTAGCCAGATCACAGGGTCATGGGGCTGCGGGAAGACCTCCTTGGCTCTTGTAATGTTGAACCACATCAGCCCTTGGAAAAGACCATGTCCTAGGTTCAGTAAGTCCTGGAGAAGACTGTCCCTCTTGTCTCGAGACTCAAGTCTCTGCGCAGAGCAGGACTTGCCCGATGTTGCTGATTTACCCAGAACCCTTCCAGCTGTCTCTAGCCACCTCAGCTAGTCAAGGAGTGCTCAGCCTGTTTCTTCCCCAGCAGCAGAGGAAAACAGCTAGCACCTTCTCTGCTAAATAGCTCAGGTTTCACCAGGAAGTCTTTTAGTCTCCCTTCTCCAACTCAGCCAAGCCACTGGTGGTGATTGTCCCAAAGCTGCCAAAGACAGGCAGGAATTTTTTTCTTGACAAATTAACACTCAGTTCTTTAGATCCACATTATTTAGAGAAAAATACCAGTGGGGTAAAACCATTTTATTCAACTTAATATTTTAGTTATCATCTTTTGAGATAATTTATTTTAGTTCGCATTATAGTCAAAGGCTTAACACTCCAGTGAGCCAAGAGTTCAACAAATACAAAGTAGAAAGGCCATCATTCAGCAGGGAAGGAGGGAAAGAGGCAAGGACTATAAACCCTAATCAAGGCGGCACCTTGGCTCACTAGGCTAATCCTCCGCCTGTGGTGCCGTCACCCCAGGTTCTAGTCCCAGTCAGAGTGCTGGATTCTGTCCCGGTTGCCCCTCTTCCAGTCCAGCTCTCTGCTGTGGCCCGGGAGGGCAGTGGAAGATGGCCCAAGTGCTTGGGCCCTGCACCCCATGGGAGACCAGGAGAAGCACCTGGCTCCTGGTTTCGGATTGGTGCAGTGCACCAGCCATGGAGGCCATTTGAGGGGTGAACCAACGGAAGGAAGACCTTTCTCTCTGTCTCTCTCTCTCACTGTCTAACTCTGCCTGTCAAAAAACAAAACAAAACAAAAAAACCCTAATCAAATGAAAAGATGCTCAACTGCACTCACATAAAGTCAGTTTTAAAATAGTCACAAAATCATGAAAACTATAGAATACCAGTATAAAATGCCTATCAGTTTGCTTGACAAAGATTTAAAACAAAGTGTGACCATTTTTTAAACACTCATTTGTTTATGAACTTCATAATCCGAGGTTTTTACCATGTGCCAGGCAATGGGCTGTCTGCTGGTAAACTGAGGCTCCTAGAGAAGATTCTTCGTGGAGAGCTGGTAGTCCTGTGGATGTTGATATCTTACAGGCCTACATTCTTTCAGCCTCCTCCACCCTCTCAGGGATGCTTCCAAAATTGGGCTAATTGGGGATTAGCTCTGTTAAAGTGATTTTTAAATTTTAATTACAGAGAGTCTGGGATTCTGAAGGAAGGAAAAGCCAAAAATAAATACCCATCGAAAACACTGCATATTTTGATTTTAAAGCCAGATATAAATGTGCAAGCACTAAGTAAAAGATCTTGTGTTTTTATGCTCTTCTTAACACTTTTTCATGTATTTTCTATTAACAAATCTGTTTGACTTTGATAACTAGAAAAATGCAGATTTTTTTTAAAAAAACTTTTTGTTCTATCTTGTAGAAATATACTAGTACAAAGAGAGTGTGGGCGATGCTAGGGAAATTTCTACCTAAAACACCATTTCTGTCACCTTGTAGTCCTCTGGACAACTGGAAAATTGTGGTTTACACACACACACCTGTTAGTGTTGCTGGCTCCACCTGTGGTTTCATTACTGCTGAGTCAACCTCATGGTTCTGGCTCTTTATCTGAGAAGTTAACTCGTTCTCCTAATCTTTATTTGTTTTGCCTTTGAACCTGAGTCCTGTTGTAGTAAACTTCCTTTGAAGTCTAAATAAATATCTGTGTTTTCATCTCAAAGGGCAGGGAACTTTGTTTTCAAGTGCTCAAAGTCAAATCATAGCCATGTTCAAACAGGTCAAATAAGTTTATGTTCTGAGTTCACAGTGTAATAATGAGAAGCTATAGAACAATGGGCAGGTGGACAGCTGTCTTTCTTTCTTTTTTTTTTTTTTTTTTTGACAGGCAGAGTGGACAGTGAGAGAGAGAGACAGAGAGAAAGGTCTTCCTTTGCCATTGGTTCACCCTCCAATGGCTGTCATGGCTGGCGCGCTGCGATCGGCGCACCACGCTGATCCGAAGGCAGGAGCCAGGTGCTTCTCCTGGTCTCCCATGCGGGTGCAGGGGCCAAGGACGTGGGCCATCCTCCACCGCACTCCCTGGCCACAGCAGAGAGACAGCTGTCTTCTTTCTAGATAAATCCTTAGACTCCTGAGCTGGGACACTTGTTCTAAATTAGCATATGTGGTAAGCAAAACAGAACCTTACTGAAGGAAATTCTGCCACGAAATGAATTTATCAGTCACATTTATGCAAATGAAATTCAAACCATGCTTAATGAAATGGTCTCAGCTCCAAGAACTACTGCAAGCAAACCTTATTTAAAATGAGAGTCACAAAGCTCACTGCAGATTCTTTTTCCAAAAGCTGTTTCTGTCCAACTTCCCAAAATTAAAGCATGAGCTCCCCCTGCTGAGTGAATTAATGTGTTGATAAAACAGAATCTAAAACACTTGTGCCTTGCCTGTTACACCATTATGTTCTTAGAAACATAAGCGATGATAATTTTTTTTCTTAAGCTCATGATTATGGAACAGAGTGGGATAGAAAGGTAAAGAAAATTCTTCTACAAAGTAGAGATTCGTTGCTTGAGATTTTTCAGTTTCTAGCAAGATTTCCTAAACACAGCTCCTGGCATGGCAGAACTTTGAAATCAACATGATGAAAACCAGGAGGAGGTTACAAGCCTCATGCCCACTCCTACCCTATTACCTGCCTCTGTTTCCTCCCAAGCTCTGATGTACGACATTATGTTTTCTTATTTATTCATTTTTCTGGTAGTGGATGTCTCCTCCCACTAGAATGGTGGCTTCCTAACAGAAGAGACCTCATCTGGGCTCTCAGCTCCCAGAACAGGGCCTGGCACCCGTAGGTTCTCAGGAACTTTTGTTTCCGTGGAGGGGGGGGGGGCAGGCAGGAGGCTGGCATTTATTGTAGCTTCACCTGGGAGTACGGCTCAATTGCAGAACGATTCTGTGCCCATCACGTGGAACTGTGAAGGAATTAGGTAGGAAATGATTGAAATGCAGTAACTAAGGAGGGCACAGGGAAGCCCTGTGGCTCGGGACCCGAGCTCAGCTTTAAGCCTGTGGAGGGTGTGGTGAAGGTAGACCAGGAAACAAGCACGGTGCTAGGCACAGGGGACACAACGGCTTAATGAAGAGGGTGTGGACCTGGCCCTCGTGGTGTTTACAACAGCTGGTGAAGACAGGCGCCACGCAGATCATCACTCAAATGAAAGTCCCAATTGCAGCTGTGACAGGTGCTAAGCAGCAGAGGAACGTGGTGTCAAAGGAGCAGGAACAGGACAACCCAGCCTTACTGGGGAGTGAGGAAAGACTTTTCCTGCTAGGATCAAAGTCACATGGGGGCCGGCGCCGCGGCTCACTAGGCTAATCCTCCGCCTAGCGGCGCCGGCACACCGGGTTCTAGTCCCGGTCGGGGCGCCGGATTCTGTCCCGGTTACCCCTCTTCCAGGCCAGCTCTCTGCTGTGGCCAGGGAGTGCAGTGGAGGATGGCCCAGGTGCTTGGGCCCTGCACCCCATGGGAGACCAGGAAAAGCACCTGGCTCCTGGCTCCTGCCATCGGATCAGCGCGGTGTGCTGGCCGCAGCGCGCCAACCGCGGCGGCCATTGGAGGGTGAACCAACGGCAAAGGAAGACCTTTCTCTCTGTCTCTCTCTCTCACTGTCCACTCTGCCTGTCAAAAAAAAAAAAAAAAAAAGTCACATGGGAGCAAGAGGGCAGGAAAAGCCCATAGCAAGTGCCGGAGGCCAAAGACGGCGCCCGTTGCTGGCACACAGCGTGGCGGGGAAGGTGGGCGCTGGGCTGTACTGTGCCAAGGAAGGGCGCGTGGGCGTTATCCTCGGAGAAAGAGCAACCAAACCCTGGGATGGTTCTGATTGCCTTTCCGACTTGATTACTGCGTTTCAGCATGTAAAAGGTGGTCTGCAAGGAGTTTCTGTTCGTTTAATAACTGTGACAAAGGAGCATTTATGAACGGGAAAGGTGGCGTTGTGGCACTGTGTCCCCACTCTGGCCTTCTTCCCAGAGCAGTAACCAAAGCATCCCCCTTTCAGGGCTGACCCTGGGTGCTGGCCTCAGGCTGGCCCAGGTGAGGGACGTCCTGGCTGATGCGGTCTCTGAGCTCCCGGAGGAGAAGACGCAGACGTATCGCGCTCTCTTGAAGCACATGAGGACCCTGGCGGGACAGCAGATCAGGAACATGGCAGTACGTCCTCTGCAGGCACCATCGGCGGGGCTGGGGGAGGCGGCAGACATCAGGGAGGAGGGAGTGGGTCCCACACTATTGCTCTTGTTTTCTGTTATCTGTCTCTCTGCTTTTCATGTGGCTGAATCATGGACTCTCTTCAGACCCTGGCAGCATAGGGGGCAGAAGGGGTGGCTGCCCGCCTGGTCTATTCGTCTATGGCCTGGATCTTGCTGTAATTGTCTGTTGAAGATCTATCCAGTCCAGAAAGATCTATGCTTAACTCCCAAAGGGGTTCCTTAACTTGTTACCTTATAAAGACAACTAACAGACTCGCAGAATAGCTAGGGCTGGTGTTCTGGCAGAGCAGATAAAGCTGCCGCCTATGATACCACCATCCCATATGGGCGCGGGTTCAAGTCCTAGCTGCTCCACTTCCAATCCAGCTCCCTGCTGTGGTCTGGGAAAACAGTAGAAGATGGCTCAAGTACTTGGGTCCCTGCACCTGCATGGGAGACCCGGAAGAACCTCCTGGCTTCGACCTGCCCAGCCTCAGCTGTTGTGGCTATTTGGGGAATGGACCACCAGATGACAGAGCTCTCTCCATCTCCAACTCTGCCTTTCAAATGAATAAATACATAAAAAAAAAAAAAATTTTTTTTTTTTTTTGGACAGGCAGAGTGGACAGTGAGAGAGAGAGAGACAGAGAGAAAGGTCTTCCTTTTTGCCGTTGGTTCACCCTTCAATGGCCGCCGCAGCTGGCACACCACGCTGATCCAAAGGCAGGAGGCAGGTGGTTCTCCTGGTCTCCCATGGGGTGCAGGGCCCAAGCACTTGGGCCATCCTCCACTGCACTCCCGGGCCACAGCAGAGAACTGGCCTGGAAGAGGGGCAACTGGGACAGAAACCGGCACCCCGACCGGGACTAGAACCCGGTGTGCTGGCACCGCAAGGCGGAGGATTAGCCTAGTGAGCCGAGGCGCCGGCCAATAAATCTTTTAAAAAAGAGAAATTAGCTGACTTGATAACAAATATAAATGAGAATCATACATTTTACTTAACCTTTTAGTGTAATTCTGTATTGTAACTCTAAAAGATATTTTATAGAGAGCTATAAAATACCCACTGTAAATGTCATATACAAACCGGTAACAAGAATAGCAGGGTTATCCTTGCTAACCATCAGTCCCTTGGAATGAAATAATTGTTGGCTTTTCTGTGGTCCAGTCCATCTCCTCTTCTCTTTTGGCTAGGGCTCTGTGTCTCTTCAGGCTTCTTCTAGGTCCCCTGAAGCCCCAGTACTAAGCTGCCTGAATTAGAGGATCCGGTCAGTCCTCCCATCTGCAATTCGTCACTCACCGTGCGTTCTCCAAAGACAACCTCCTTAGTAATGGAGCTGCCTAGGGTAGCAGCTTCATCCCACATTACAGTGTGTGGCCCATAGGCCATCTCTCGCCTGCCCCCTTCTCACATCTGAATCTCTCCTTACTCAGCTCCACACTCCTGTACCTGCACTACAGCCCATGGGGAGGGTTTCAGTAGCCCTGGCTAGGAGAGTAGCTACTCTTCCCATCCTGCAGATGTCGCTGTCGCAGGGCTGCTGCAGCGCCCCCTCTTTCAAGCTCTGTCTCAGCTCCTAGTTCACCCCATATCTTGCCTCCACCTCCCCCATCCATGTGCTACTCCCTCACTTACTCTGCTTAACCATTTCTTGTCTATCATTGTGTAAGCCACACAAGCATAGCTTCAGAATGAATTCTTCATACGTAAATCTTAATTTGAGTCCCTTCCTAATCAGAAATCAGAAATTGCTGGTATTAAAGTTTTATTTCTCCTGCTTGCCTTCACAATTTGCATTTTGTAAATAAGTAAAGGGAATGGAGGTTCCTCTCAAACATTTGAAGATTTGCAAGACAATCGCTCATCCATGATGGCACTTTTGATTCTAATTGCTGCATCAGGTTGAATAGAAATGTCATTCTCTGTTTAATTCAGCACTCACCAGGAAAGTCCCAAGGTTGCTGACTAATGTTTCTTTCAGTCCTTAGGTGGTCATATAATTAGCAGGCTGCCGACTTCTGATCTCAACCCCATTTTGGGAGTAGGCAATTGCATCCTCAATGTTGCTTCAAAAGGTGAGCTACTGCATTCCCTTAAAGGTGCTGATGTCAGTTTTAGAAACACATATTGAATACGGTTGTAGGATAACACAGGCATCCCTCAGTTAAGTCATTGGATGCAATGCTAACTTTGTACTTTGCTGTGGATATAACTGAGAACACACATTGTGGGGAAGAGTAGGTGGAAATGAACAACTGTAGGCTATCAGAAATACCACTGTAGATAATTAGCATCTCAACTGGCCTTTTTTCTTGCCTGGTCATGACCAAAGGATAACACACCTGTGATGAACTGAGGCTACACAGCAAGTGTACTGTAATGAAGAAAGACTTTTATTTTAGTGCATTTTAATGGGTTTATGACTTACTTTTTGTCCTTGACTTACATGTTTAGGTTCTAAAGATATCATTTATATTTTTAAAAATGTATATTTGATGCTCTGTGTCACACATCACTCAACACTGGACATGTCTGGCACTAGATGTGTGTGTGTCTGTCGGGGGCAGGTGGTGCTCCTCACACACTAAGTAATTCTCCAGCAGATATAGAGTATCTACCTGGAGATGGTATGAGATGCAACAGTTGAAGGGCCACTCTGAAAAGACTGCTCTCCTCACTTGTCAATCCCATGTCCAGGCCTCTGGTCCTTTTGACCAACAGGCTATAAACTGGGGTTTCCCTGACCCCTTTGGGTCCAACTAATTCTCTAGAGTGGCTCACAGGACATAGGGAATGCTTCTCTTTAGCCTTTTATTCTAATGGGTATTAGAAAGGGTCTCAGGAAAGAGCAGATGGAAGAGATACGTAGGCCAAGGCACGTGGGGAAGGGCAGAGTCTCCATGCCCTGGATTAGTCAACTTTTCTTTAATTAAAATACATGACAAGAGCTTCTTGGGAAGTAACAGCTTGGTTTTGGCTCACAGTTTGGAGGTTCACAGTTCAAGTTCAGGGAGCCCCATTAATTGGGGGTCTGATGGAGGCTAGAATGCTTGAGCATCCGAAGAGGAGCAGTCACATGGGGAGCCAGGAAGCAGAGAGAGACACAGCAAGCACGCCTGGCTTATGCATCCAGCACTTCCATGAGAACCTCCTTCAAGGCCAAGCCCCCAGTGACCCAAAGACCTCCCACAGGTCCATCTACCAGATGCCATAATCAGATCAATTCTCCACCCTTAATCCAATCACTGTTAATGTAAGATTCCACTGTAGTTATACATTTTCCCATAAAGAAGTGTCAGTGGCATTGTGAAATACCAAGAACTACATGTGTTGGTCACTATGAATGGTTCTAGACACAGAAATCTTTATAATTTCCTGAATGATAGGAGTGTCTGAAACAGAAGTTCTCAATGGGATTTAGACGTTTCCATGAACTTAGGGAGCCAAGTGTCCTGTTCAATCCACAATGTCCTCTCTGGGTACACTACCCTCCTGGCACCTCCACAAATTCCGCTTCCAAGATGCTCACCTCCACCCTGTCCTTTTGAGGCTCTGTGGAAGCTCCATTACGTAGGCATGACTGGTTACAGCATTGGTCTTTGCTGAAAGTCACAACTCTCATCACATGGTTGGATTTCCCTGGCAACCAGCTGCTTTCCAACTGCCCGTCAAGAGGGACCTCATGAGAGTAAAAGACGCCCTTCCCATGCAAGAAATTCCCAGGAATTAAGGACCTCTGCTACAGGTGCTGCTGTCATTCAGGAAATTACAGAGATCTGAGGATTTCTGTGTCTGGAACCAGAAGCAAAGACCAATACATGCAGTTCTTGTTATTTCACAACACCACGGGGAAATTTATAACTGCAGTGGAATCTGTGGGAGATGATTCATGAGGACCACGACATCTTTAATGGTGTCAAAGGCCTACTGCCTAGGAAACATCTGGTTCTATACTGATCTTGTCAGGTGAATTTATTGGAAATGGAAGATCCAGCAGGACCAGCCTGGGGCAATGACCCCTATGTGGAAAAAAAAAAAAAAAGAAGAAGAAGAAGAAGAAAAAAGGGAATACTTCGTGGTTGACAAACTGCACAAGGGAAATCGGTCTCTTTTCACTTGACTTTTGACCAGAAAGAACATTAGCCAATTTGATCCGCTGCCTTATCCATCAAACTGGCTTCTGGGTGACTTTTACCTCTTACCATAAATCAAAAGTACCTTCAAAAGATCGAGATTTATCACAGCCAAGGCCACAGGCTGTGGAACATCCCCTGAAGGGTGCCCAACGTGGGGTGAGGCAGGCAGTACTGAGATAAATGTCTAACACCTCCTACGGTGACTGCTTTGAGGAGGGTGGCATTCACTTGCTTGCCTGTGCTTTGGGATTTGGGTTTAAGATAATCATATAGCTGGAAGAAGGCCAAGTTCTCCTGAGTAATCTACATATGCTTACCATGCCCCTCTCCAGAATTTAGATTCTTCAGGCTCTCTCCCCCACGGCACTCCCATTGGTCTGCGCTGTCACGTTTGTCCCCTGAGTATGATCATTCTGCCCTACAGGTTACACCATGTCTTGTGAGCAGAGTTGTTCTGGTGACCCGGAGGAGCTGTGCTCTGTTAATACAGGCGGAAGACAATTCAAGACTGAATTTTCGGAGACAGTGGATACAACTTTGGGAAAATTGTGATATTGTGTGTGGCTAGTTTTCAGTTTAATTTTAATTTTAGAATGTATTTTTAGAATAAGAATACCACTGGATTTGATAAAGTACAAAGCCGATTCAGTAGCATAAGTTACCTTTAAATGAAATACTTTTTTTCCCCAACAGAAGGAATGCAGCAAATTCCTTTGAATGATCATTTTCTTGCTGGAGCAACAAATGCAAGCCTTAAGCCAGAACAAGTCCTAGTTTCTGTGTTCATTCCTATCTCTAGAAAGGTATGAGATTGTGGAGTTTATAATGCCCACTTTCTTCTGTTTCCTTTTAGTTGCTTTATTGAACTGTTTTTCATCGCTAGAGTGAAATAGCTGGGGCAAGCTAACTTTATAAGGAAAGGAAAAGAGGTTTATTTAACTCATGTTCCAAAAAGCACGGCACAGGTGCTGGCAAGGCCCCATGGTGCATGGAGAGAATGTATGCAGGAAGAAGTGATCACATCCCAGACAGGAAGCCAGAGGGGTCAGGCTCAGCTTTTTTTTTTTTTTTTTATTTATTTATTTGAAAGACAGAGTTACAGAGAGAGGTAGAGACAGAGAGGGAGGTCTTCCATCTGCTGGTTCACCCCCCAGATGTCCGCAATAGCCAGAACTGTGCCAATCCAAAGCCAGGAGCCAGGAGCTTCTTTCAGGTCTCCCAAACAGGTGCAGGGGCCCAGGGATTTGGGCCATCTTCTACTGCTTTCCCAGGCCATAGCTGAGAGCTGGATTGGAAGTGGAACAGCTGGGTCTCGAACTGGCGCCCATATGGGATGGTGCCGGCACTGGAGACGGCAGCTTTACCTGCTATGCTACAGCACCGGTCCCTGGAGTTGCTTTGTTTTTATCTTGAACTAAATTGAGCATAATAAAAACTAGAATTTATAGCAAACATTTATACTTGCCTAGGTACAAGCAGTAGTAGCTGATTAGATGCCAATCTGCTTAAATTACACAACTTCAGGACATTGTGCCATTTTCTGATTTGTCTTCAAGAACTCTAAAAACCATATAATCACAGAGCATATCATTTAAAGAGACCAATGACCTTATTTTATAGATGAGAAGATTGGGGTTCAAAGAAATTTAATTATTTCAACAAAATTTCACAATGAATGGGTGGCAGAACTAGCACCAAAACCCAACATCAGTATCAGGGATAAAAACTAGAATAAAGAATCATTTATAAAATGTTTCACTCTGATGTTAATGTCCAAGATTCATGTATTCTTCAAATAAATAAGAACTTCAGGGAAATAAGGGACCAGTGAGTTCTGATTATACTAAGATACGGATAGCACAGGAGGAATTCAGGTATCCCTTGATGGATGAATATGGCTTTGACTGGCTTTTGTTTGAACTATCTGTTTCAACAGATGGAAACTTGGACTAATGTGGGTGGTTACTATTGCATCTCAAGGCTTGAGCTCTGGATCAGCTTGGCCAATAAATGGAAGTTGGTAGCCATTTATCACACACACAAGAGCAGAATACTTTTTTTTTTTTGACACTTTCCCCTAGTATCATTCATTCATTCAGTTATTTGTAGAATCTGCTGTATAGCACATGAACACCCAGGACAGAGAAAAGTCACCATCATTTGCTAAAAATATTGCTGGATGTCCTCCTCCCCTGATACTCATGCACTGACTTTTTAGCTAAACTTCCTGGATTTGATTGAATGAATTAGGAGAAGAACAAAATGAAACAAAGGTTTGCTGCAGAAAACTCGCCATTAGTCCTCAGAGCCAACAAGTTAAGTCTCTGCTGGTTAGTGTTAGGGATGCTAGGACTTCAGAAGAGTTTTACCAAAGGAGAAAGGAGATGATGTTCTGAGAATGGAGAGTACTCCAGGCTCCTAGTTTTCATGAGAATCTCAGTAGCAACAGTGGGTGATTCTGAAGTGATAGTAGTATTCTTGCCATCACTGCCCCCAAGTTTAACCTGAATCAATTCAGGAAGAAATAGATAGCCCAAGCCAAAGGACACTATAAAACGACTAATCGATGACTCAAAAATGTCAGCCTCATGAAAGACTGGAGGGCTTTTTCAGAGAAAAGGAAAGGAGAGAGGCTTATGCAGGTCTTTTACTGGAGAAACTTGGACATGACCTCTGTTAAATGGCACCATTGCATCAATACTCACCCCTCAGTCTCATTCTCATCTTGGTTGGTGCTGAGGTTATAAAGAAGAAAGAGCCCTTGGCTGTTTTGCTTCTGTTTTGGGGTATTTTTTCTTTTTGGAACTACACCTGGAAACATTTCAGGGATGAAGTATCATGGTGTCTTTGATTAGCTTTCAAATGTGTCACTACAAGTTCTTCCCCAAGACTGAGCTTAAAAACCCGACTCCCATCAGCCCTTCAGGTCTTTCTCTCTTGGAACCACAGCCTCCTGGCTGCTTCGGCAGGAGGTTTCCAACTTGAATAAATCCTGCTTTTCTTTTGGAAAAAAATTAAAAGGTGTCACTAAAACTGTGTGAGTGTGTGTGCATGTCTTGTGTTGGGGGGGGGAGTGGCTAGAGGGAGAGTGAGCCTGTGGGGTACAGTGCTGACCCTTGGTGAATCCGTGAATGTAGGTATCAGTATTTATTGTGCTGTCCTTGAGACTTCTCTGTACATGTGAAAGTTTTCAAAACAAAGCGTTGTTCTTGTTGTATTGCAGTGGGAGTTTGTGTCAGCTTTCAGACAGGCCCCCCGCCAGCAAAATGCCCTTGCAATCGTGAATGCTGGGATGAGAGTCCTTCTCAAAGATGGCACACACACCATTGCGGACTTGAACATCTTATACGGAGGAGTGGGTCCTACTACTGTCAGTGCCAGGGAATCCTGCCAGCGGCTCCTTGGAAGGTGAGTGATAGACTTGCACCTCCTCCCAAATACAGTCTGTTTACCCTTGAATAGCTACAACTGACACGGCTACCCAAGGTGGAGGCCTGTGTCTCTGGAGTGCCACAGCATTTTACAGTAAGTGTATGTGATAACTGAAAGCAAGATTTTAAATAGTACACACAAAGGCCCAGTTGTGTGTGATGGGACTTCCAAGTGAGAAAAACGATGTGATCAATCTTTGTTTACATTTTTAAGATCAGTTTTCTGGTTACTATCACACACTTGTTTATCCCTGAATTTCTTTTGCATCTAGATGCTGGGATGAAGACATGTTGAATGAAGCTTGCAGGCTGGTCCTGGATGAGATCCCACTTCCGGCGTCCGCCCCTGGAGGGAGGGTGGACTACCGCCGAGCTCTCCTGATCAGCTTCCTCTTCAAATTCTACATCGACGTGTGGCGGCAGTTACAGATGAGGGTAAAGTTGCAGCTGTCCTTGGGTTGTCTTGGGGACGAGAGCTTGTTCCATTGCTTTCACCCCAGCCCGGGCCGGGAAGTTAAAGGAGCACCATGTGTCTGTCTCCATGACCATAATTCTGATTTCTGGGATCCCTTATGGACCAAACCATTTCATAGGCACTTCCCCAAAAAAGAAAAATAAAAGTCTGAGGACCATGCAGCCACATAGATTTTGAAGATGTTTTTCTATTAATCAACTGAAGTCTCTCAATTAATAATTCACATTAAAATAATAAAAGCATCTTTACTTCAGGAACCAAGTGGCTACCCTGACATTCCCAAGAAACTCTTAAGTGCCCTGGAAGACTTTCCATTGACCATTCCTTGGGGGATACAGTCATTCGAGGTCAGTACATTTCTGGATGGGCAGAACAGCCACGTAGGGCTGCAACTGTGTTGTCATGTGGTTTTGCTTTTTAATCTCAGTGTGTGTATATATATATATTTATATATATGCATATATACTATATATACATATATATACACTATATATATGAAGTATATATACATATATAGTCTTTTTTATATACAATCTTTTAGGAAAGTTTCAGTTATGGAGATGCTCTACAGTTGGAAAACACAGTAGAATAACAGTTCCCATTAAATCATAACCAAAAAACAAACCTTTATGAATAAAATCAACAGGAAGTATGCAGGACCTGCAAGAAGAGGACTTTTAGATTCTACTGGTAAACTCTCAAAAAAAAAATGACAAAAACACAGACTTGAACAAAAGGAAAGATACAGTCTTTAGCTAGGAAGACACACTGACTGTAAAGTTATAAATTTTTTCTTATTATTCAATAAATTAAATGCATTCTCAATCAAAATACCAACAAGATCCTTTGGGAATTTGATTTCAAAGTTTATCTAGGAAGATAAATATGAATATTTTTGAAAATTATGAACAGTAATAAGGATGAACTAGCCTAGATACTATTGACGTGTATTACAAACCTCTGGTAATTAAACATTATAGGTACTGAAACAGGAAGAGACAAGAGACAAAAAGAACAGTGCAGGATCGAGAAAGGGGCCTCATTAGAAACAAATATACATTTCAAACACATGTAATAAAGTGGAGTATCTAGGAAGGGATATTGGTGTAGCTAACTAACCATTTTAAAAGTAGAAAAAAACTTTAGTGAGTCAGCAGTTGGAAGATCTCCCCCTCTTTGTCATTCTGCCTTTCAAATAAATAAATAAATCTTTAAAAACAGGAATCATGAACTGTACTTCTATTTCTCATGTTACAATAAACAAAGTCTAAATTGCTTAGTTTTTTTTTTTTTTTAAAGATTTTATCTATTTTGAAAGTCAGAGTTATACAGAGAGAAGGAGAGAGAGAGAGAGAGATCTTCCATCCACTGGTTCACTGCCCAGATGGCTGCAAGGGCTAGCATCGGGCCGGGCTGCGGGGAGCCAGGAGCTTCTTCCAGGTCTCCCACATGGGTGACAGTGACCTAGGTATTTCAGCCATCATCTGGTGCTTTCCCAGGCCATTAGCAGGGAGCTGGTTTGGAAGTAGAGAAGCCGAGACGCAAACCGATGCCCATATGGGATGCTAACATCACAGGCAGTGGCTTTATCTGCTATGCCACAATGCTGGCCCCTAAGGTTTTAAAGATCAAAAACTAAAGCATAAAACTACTAGGAAAAAAAATACTCTTTAAACAAAATCCATAGCCTGGGGAAGTCCTTTGTAACTGTGACATGATACCCAGAAATTATAAAAGAAAATATATATTTGATTATATAAAAGAGAAAAACTTGAAGAAAAAATTAGAAATAAACACAGTATAGCCACTGGCAGATCACTGGGAAAATAAGCTATACTGAGCCTCATCCAAAATGTGTTTAACTGCAAATTAAAACTTAAACTAGATATGATTTTAACCTATCAGACTGGCAACAATTTAGGTACCCAGGACCCATTCAATTTGAAAATTTTTTTCTACAAGCATACTTAAAGTCTTCAAAATAGTTGGGTAGGGATTACAGGAGCTCACCAACAGGGGGCAGAAGAAACATGTCCCAGTTTTACCAAAGCCACTTTTTCCCTGACAAAATTTATTTTTTTATAAGAAAAAATTTTATTTGTTTGAAAGGCAGATTGTCAGAGAGAGGGAGATACAGAGAAAGATCTTCCATCTGCTGATTCACTCCCCAAATGGCCGCAATGACCAGGACAGGGCCATCCCATCCCTCCCCCCCCCAAAAAAAAGAGTCAGGAACTCCATCTGGGTCTCCCCAGTTGGGTGGCAGGAACTACAGTCCTTGAGCCATCATCTGCTACCTCCCAGGTGTATTAGCTGGAAGCTTGGATCAGAAGGCAGAGGTAGACCCCATCCAATATGGGATGCAGGCATCCAAGGGGCAGCTTTTCCCACTGCACACAACAGCCAGCCCAGACACGTGATGTTTATATTCAGATGGATGTGCTATAACTTATTAAGCCAGTCCTCACTGTTGGGAATGAGCAGTCTTCCGGTGAGTACGCTAGTACCTAAGCCTGCACACATTCCCAGCTTCGTCCTTAGAACAAATTCCTGGAAGCAGAGTTTCTATCTACTTCTCAGGCTTTTAAAGCTGTGACCATTAGAAAGGCTTGGTTGTTTTTTTTTTTTTTTTTTTCAGTTAACACTCTTAGCAACTGTGTTTGAATGCACCCATTTTATCACACCCTTACCAACTTTAGATATTGCATATTCTAGCTTTCAACAATTGAGAGAAAAATGGGATGTTGCTATTTTGATTAGCATTAGGGTCAGCTTTCCGTATCGGTACTGAATATGCACAGACTCCTTTCTTGTCAATATCCCCTAACAATACAGGATAACAACTAGTTACATGGCGTTTATGTTGTATTAGGTATGATAAGAAGTTAAGGGAGAATTTATAGCCTACAAAGGTTATACTGCAAATTCTATACCACTTTATATAAGGGACTTGAGTAGCTTTGGGTTTGGGTATTTTCAAGTTGTTCTAGAGCCAATCCCCTGTGGATATCAAGGGATGACTATACTTCAGTTATAAGTGAAGTTAAAACCCTTTTCCCCCACTTATTTAATGGCCATTTATAGCGCTATTGTGTTTTTATGCTGGTGAAATCTCATAAAAATGGACACTAAAGACAGATTTTAAGGACAAAACATGCAACAAAAGGGCAGCTAGAAGCCTGAGGGAAATGGAAGGATAGGACTTTTCACTGACCTGGGCTGCAAGGAAGACATACGGTCCTATGCATTTGACTCCCAGGACCCCAAGCTAACCCCTACTGTCCACTCAGGACCCCAGGCTAGCCCCTCACTGTCTATCTAGACCCACAATGGGAGAGAGAACACAGCTCTGTTTAAATTTGCTCCCCAAAGTGGAGAGCCTGATTCTCCTACTGGCATCAATCAATCTCCTTGAGTTGGGCTGGTTGTTGGTTCCAGTTGGTTTACCAGATGGCAGAAAAGAACCTGTTGTTTGGTAAATTGCCTGAGGTTCATCCCCAGGATCACTGGGAGACATCTTCAGTGGACAGATTACCCAAAATTATGGGATGTAAGAACTGATACCTCTTAAAAGTCTCCCTGTGTGTGTCATGCCATTTGCCTTGAATGGTGGAAGATAAAACTTGATCTTCACACAGCCTCCAAATTCATAGCCCCGGATCAGCAGAAAGGGCTCTTCCCTTGGTTCACAAATGCTGCTCTAGCTGAAAAGCATGGCTCCAATCTCACATTGTCCTTTGCATGTTCAGGGAGTGTGGAGTCCAAAGAGCTTAAAACAAACACCCCTCCCAAACTACTTACTGAAGAACAGGGACTAGAACTCACCAGATGCTCATTGGGTCTTCCCTACTTCCCTGCCTGAAGGGAGACCTCACAGGGGCTACTTGTGTGGCTCCCTGTTTTAAGCTGACATTAACCATGAACATGGACTTTCACTGGTCAATAATGGGAAAGTCTAAAATATCCCCCTCAGATCTGTTCTATAAAACACTTAGGTTTTCTCGGAAAAGCAGGGCTTCCCACACACTCACTGCCACAGAGCCAGTTCTCACTCACGGTCCATCCCCACCTGCTTCATCTTCATCACACCTGCCCTGTCTGCTTCACACTGAATTGTAAGAGGAACAAGGAAAAGCCCACTTAAGTTGAACACACACTTTCTTGGAAAGGCTTGCCCCACCCAGAGTGGGGAAAGAGGTACCCAGGTTTTAGTGGGAGTTTCTGACTCATAAATACTCCTGCTTGATCAACTTGCTTTGTGTTTGTACTATTTCTTAAATGCAGCGTATGGATCCCCAGCAGCCCTCCCAAGACCCAGTGGGACGCCCCATCATGCATCAGTCAGGCATTAAACACGCCACAGGGGAGGCTGTATTCTGTGATGACATGCCTGCCTTGGCAGACGAACTCTTCCTGGCTGTGGTGACCAGCACCAGGCCGCATGCCAAAATCATGTAAGTAATAAAGGCAGGGTGAGAAGGCCGATGATGCCTGGCAGACAGGACGGGCGTAATTGTCTGTGAGCGACTGGTCCAGCACAGCTCACTGAGGCAATCTCAGCATATATCTTGATAAAATAAAATTAAAAGGAGGAAGAAGTCTGTGGGTTTGGGAATGGATCAAAGAGTAAACTCCCATCAGAAGGATTTGGCACCAGAGGGGCTGGCCTCTACTGTCTGAGAATGTAAAGGGGTGAGAACGACTTCTTCAGTCCATGAGATCCCAAAGAGCTATGGTTCCCTCCACCTTGTTTCTGGATGTTCATCTTCACAGGAGCCTGAGCTCCCCACTGTGCCATCCACTCAAGCTTTGTTTATGGAACCTCCAGGACACAATTCCCTGGACAATGAGAATAACACAGTGCTCTTCTGAGCACCCCCAATCTTGCCACTCTTTGCAGCCAGAGGATCCCATGTCATCATGTCCCAGAGCATTAACATACTTTTAATACACTTCCTGTTGGAGACTCACTTGGTAGTACTCATGTGAATTACAGTGGGGTGCTGGGAATTCCACATTCGCATGGAAAAGGGCCTTTTATCCTGTATCATGCTTGTCACATTTACAGTTTTATTTCCTCCCCAGTTCCATTGATGCCTCTGAGGCCCTGGCACTGCCTGGTGTCATCGATGTGATAACGGCGCAGGATGTTCCTGGTGAAAATGGCAGTGAGGAAGAAAGATTGTATGCACAGGATGAGGTAGTGCAAAAACAGTGCCTGAGATGCTGGCGGCATCTTAATCACAGGGGCGGCTGCTCTTCCTGGGTGCTATTTTTCAGGTGCCTTTGTGTACGGGATCATGTGCCATCCTGCCAACATCCTTAGGCTGTCTGTTTGTGCGAAGTCTCCTTTCAGAACACATTTAAGGCTATAAGAACCCTGTTAAATGGACACAGTTTTTGCTATTTTAAGAAAACAACATCAGTCACCTGCAAAAGTCAAGATGGTATCTGAGCAAAAACTCCAGCACGTGTCCCACGGAGACACCGGTGTGAACATCTAGACCCACACCAGATCACCTTCACAAGAGCTGTAGAAGCTGGGCCAGGGACTGTGGACAGTCTCTGGACTTGCCCCAATATCAGGCAGAGCCATGCACCTTGGTAAGAGATACTTGTTTGGGGGCTATCGCATCACCAGGCTCTGACAGACCTGGTGTGCTCCCCCAAATTTCATAGGGCCTGCTGTCTGTAAGACACAGGTGAGACTCACCCAAGGCCTGCCTGAGTAGCAACCTACAACTTTGGTCAGACAGCAAAGAAACACAGGAGTGTCTTGGAACTCCATGCCAGACTGATAAAACTCAGCATTAAGCAGATTCTAACAGTGTCTATCCATAGATCAGTGGCTGCAGACTGAGCCTGTGGGCCTGATTCAGTGCCCAGTGGAATTCTGTGGTCATGGTTGAGCAGTCTGATTAGCAGTAGCTAGTAGCTGCAGTACTGGGCAGTGAGCTCACCTGAGCAGCAGAATAGAGAGGCACAAATGAAGCCAGATTGCTAAAATCAATCCTTCAATGCACAAATAATCTTTACTCCAACAAGATCAAGAACTTTCAGGGAACCATGATCTCACCTAAAGAGCAAAATACGTTGCCAGAAACCAGTCCTCTAGAAACTGAAATTTCCGAATACTCATATGAAGGTTTCAAAATAACCATATTAAGGAAATGCAATGAAATTAAAGAGGACAAAGACAAATGATTCAGTGTTCTAACACTGAAGGTAGATTTGATAGAGAGATGGAAATAATTAAACAAAATTAATCAGAAATCCTTCAACTGAAAAATATATTAAGTGAAATTAAAAACATAGTAGAAGGCATCAGGAGCAGAATGAATCAGACAGAAGAAAAAATCAGTGAGTTCAAAGACAGGCTATTTAAAAATAGGAGAGAAAAAGGATCAAAAGGAATGAAGAAAGCTTATGGGATACATGGGATAGTGTGAAAAGAGTAAATATTCAAGTTATTGGTATTCAAGAAGGACTAGAGAATTCCAAAGGGGTAGAAAGCATATTCAAAAAGATAATGACAGAAAACTTCCTAAACATAGAGAAAGATACAGGGATACAGGTAGAGGAAGGTCAAAGGCCACTATTTTAACCCAGATTTTATTTTAACCCAGGTCAGATTTTAACCCAACCAAGTCTACTCCAAAACATATTGTAATCAAGTTCTATAAGGTTAAAGGTAAAGACAGAATTCTCAAAGCTGCAAGAGAATTTAAGCAAATAACACATAAAGGGGTCACAGTTTATCTGACTACAGACTTCTCAACAAAAGCCTTACAGGAGAGAGTGGAATGAGACTTCTGTAGACATGCAAGGACATACCATGTTCATGGATTAGAGGAATCAGTATCATTAAAATGTCATACTGCACAAAGCAATTTACAGATTCAATGAAATCTTGATAAAAATCTTAATGACATTTTTCACAGAACTAGAAAAAAACACTATTAAAATTTATATAGACTCACAAAAGACCCTGAATGGCCAAAGTACTCTTGATCACAATGGAAAAATAAAAAGATATTATATTACCTGACCTTAAAATATATTCTAAAGTTGCAATAATTTAAACAACATGGTATTACATAAAAACATATCCATAGACCAATGGAACAGAATAGAAATCCTGGAAGTAAGCCACATATCTGTAGTAAATTGATCTTTGACAAAGGTGCTAAGAACATGCATTGGAAAAAGGATAGTCTTTTAAATAAATGGTGCTTGGAAAATTGAATATACACATGCAGAAGAATGGAACTAGATCCTCCTTGTTCATCATTTACAAAAATCAGCTCAAATGGATTAAAGACCTAAATATGAGACCTGAAACTTTTAAACTATTAGAAGAAAACACTTCAGGACATGGGACTAGGCAAAGATTTCCTGGATTAGCCCTCAAAAGCACAGGAAATAAAAGGAAAAAAATAGACAAATGGTATTTCATCAAACTAAAGAGCTTTTTTAAAACAAAGAAAGCAATCAACAGAATGAGGAGACAACCCATAGTATAGTAAAAAAAAAAAATCTACAAGCTATATATCTGAGAAGAGGTTAATACTCAGGATATATGAAGAATTCATACAACTCAATAGCAAAAAAACCAAATGTTACTATTTTAAAATGAGCAATAGATCTAAATAGACATTTATCAAAGGAAGGCATAAATATGGCGAATAGGTAAATGAAAAAATACATAACATTACGAATCATCAGGCAAATGCAAAGCAAAACCACAATGAGATATCACCTCACTCCAGTGATATTGGCTGTTATCCAAAAGACAAATGTAACAAGCATTGGCTAAAATGTGGAAAAAAGGGAACACTTGGATGCTGTTGACAGAAATGTAAATTAGTACAGCCATTGTGGAAAACAGAATGGAGGTTCCTCAAAAAACCTAAAGATAGAACTACCATGTGCTTCAGCGATCTCACTTCTGGGTATATATCAAAGGGACATAAAATCCACCTTTCAAAGAGACATCTGCATTCCCTTGTTTATTGCAGCACTGTTCACAATAGCCAGGAGAGGAAAGCAGCCTCAGTGTCCATCAAACGATGAATGGATATTACTCAGCCATTAAAAGGGATGCAGTTTTGTCATTTGCAGCAACGTGGCTGGAACTGGAGATTAAGGAAAATAAGCCGAACACAGAAAGATAAATATCACATACCTCACTCATATGTGGAGTTTAAAAAAACTCGACCTCATAAATGCTGAAGATATAATATAGTGACCAGAGGCTGGGGAGGGAAGTGGGGAGGCAGAGGGATTGTGCAAGGTTGATTGATGGACACTAGGTGATAGCCAGATAGGAGTAAGAAGTTCTGGGGTTCTATTGCACAGTAGAGTGAAGATAGCCATTGTAATTTATTGTATATTTCTCTATAAACAAATGAAAAAATGTGATTTGGGGATGTTTTCACTCTAAGGAAATATATGTATCTTCTCCTTAACAAATGCTTAACCTTTAAATGTTAAATGCTTCACAGGATAAATATAGTTACTCTGGGCCGGCGCCGCGGCTCACTAGGCTAATCCTCCGCCTAGCGGCGCCGGCACACCGGGTTCTAGTCCCAGGCGGGGCGCCGGATTCTGTCCCGGTTGCCCCTCTTCCAGGCCAGCCCTCTGCTGTGGCCAGGGAGTGCAGTGGAGGATGGCCCAGGTGCTTGGGCCCTGCACCCCATGGGAGACCAGGAAAAGCACCTGGCTCCTGGCTCCTGCCATCGGATCAGCACGGTGTGCCGGCCGCAGCGCGCTGGCCGCGGCGGCCATTGGAGGGTGAACCAACGGCAAAGGAAGACCTTTCTCTCTGTCTCTCTCTCTCACTGTCCACTCTGCCTGTCAAAAAAAAAAATATATATATATATATATATATATATAGTTACTCTGGACATCGCACAATGTATACATGTAAGGAAACATCATATAGAACTAGACCGATGTGTGCAATTTTGTGTTTCTTAAGTTTTTGTTAAAATTTTTTAATTAAAGATGACAACATGGAGGCTTAGATGGTTTTAGCGAACTACCTAAGACCTTACAGCTAGTTGTGGTAGAGGTAATATTCCATCTCAGCCCTGTGCTCTACGGTACAGGTGAATTCTGCCACATTATCGCAGGACACGTCTGCAACAGTTCATGTTGACAAGGGATTGCTTGTTCTCATTTTTATTCCTTCCTGGCATGTTACTTGGTCCGTTTTTGCTACAGGTGATTTGTGTGGGTCAGATTGTCTGTGCTGTGGCTGCTGACTCGTACGCCCATGCCAAGCAAGCCACGAGAAAGGTGAAGATTGTGTACAAAGATGTGGAACCTGTGATTGTGAGCATTCAGGTAATGTCAGCATCTGCTGGTCTTTTGGTCATTTGTCAGTCTTGCCAGAAAGTTCCAAAGCATGTTGTGAAGCCCTTTCATCTTGTGACATTTTCCAGCTGCTATGCTGGTATCAGAGACCGGAAAGTCTATGAGGGTGCTTCCCAAAGGCCGTGGAAAGGTGTAGTTAAAGGTGATTTCATTGTGCTGGAAAACATTTGTGAACCCCGTGCAGGTTTTTCATAATACACACTTTCCACAAACTTCTTGAAGACCCCTACTATTTTCTCCTAAGAAACTCACATTGCCCTACTAGCTGGAAATGTGTCCTCTTAGCCCACAACAGATCTCTAGTTGTTCCCGTTGCCCCTAAGAACACTGGAAATACGATTGGGAAAGTTCCAAATTCCAAGGTTGGTATTGCCTCTCAGGTGGATTTTAACATTTTACATTTAAAATTCATTTTCCTTACCTCCTGTACAATGTTCCAGCTACCCTGGTCCTTTGTTGCCCTTAATTTTCTCTTTCCCTGTGTGCAACCAGTTCACTCTCATTTGAGTGTGGCCAGTGGCCTTTTTTTCTGAGCTTTTCTGCACTTTTTGCTGGGTTTCAAGGTAAAACTGCAGTGATTCCTTTTGTGCATCCTGGATATGTATGCTAAAGAGGGCAATAGCACAATTACCCAGAGAGGCCACAGGGAAAGAATTTATGTGCACTGTATTGGGCAGGCGGGGCAGCCCACTGGATACCCCCTGCTCCTTTACCTAAGAACAGAAACTGAAGATCTGTCCACAAATGAATACAGTGGAATCACCTCTCACTTAGGAACAGGTTCTTTATGAAAACAAAGAATGACCAGAATAAACCTTAATATACTACACCACTGGGTGGGGGGAAAGCCATTATAATTCATAAACTGTACTTTGGAAATTTATATTTACTAAATAAAAGTTTAAAAAAAATATACTACACTGCTATACCAAGACAAACCAAGACAAAAAGGACTAAAGATTGAAAGGTCAAAAGTGAAATCCAAAAAGTACAAGAATAAAGCATGGGAAAACTCCTTAATAATAATTTTAACAGTGAACCAAACTCTAAAGTTTATAAGAGAAAATATTAATTTGGCTGCATATAACAAAGAAAATTATAATAGTCAAAAGAAGCATTAATTGGGAAAATATTTGCGAACCATACTGTGATCAATAAGCCAAGTTCCTAAGTATATAAAGATTTCCTAGAAATTAGGAAGAAAAATCCAATAGAAAAGTGAGCAAAGAATACAAGGAGACAGAGCACAGAAAGAAAATACAAACAGCCCTTATATAGGAAAAGAGGTTTGATTTATGAATAACAAGAGAAATTTAAATTACAAGCTACAATGAAATGCCACAGTTAACTTATCAGATTGGCAAAAATACAAAAGTTTGACAATTCATACACTTGGCAAACTGTGGGAAAACCGGTGCTCTCTTATCTTGCCAGTAGAAGCATAAACTGGGAACAGCATATATGAAGGGAAATTTAGAAATAACCATTGAAATTCCAAACGTGTGTACCCTTTAACGAGCAATCCCACTCCGGGAATTTAGCATGCAGCTTAGCAGACCCAACTGCCAGATAATGTGTTTTACAAGTTCTTCTTTGCAGTGTAATTTATAGTCATAAAATACTGGAAACAACTCAAGAGTCCTTCGATGTATGCAGTGGAATCCTACGCAGCTGTATAAATTTTTTAAAGAATGAGGATGTTCTCTCTGCACAGAAATAGAAAATTCTCCAAGTTACACTGTCAAGTGAAAGGCAAAATGCAGAGAAATATGCAAAGTGGGGCATGTAGTACTACAGATTCCCACTTGCTTGTATCTGCAGAGAACCTCTATAACAGCACATGAAGAGTAGCAGTGGAGTGTACCTTTGGAGGGAGTGGGTGGAAACCAGACACAGGGACAGGCATGGACAGGGCAAAACTCACCAAATACATTCTGCTTCTGTTTCATTTTTTTAAAAAGATTGATTTATGTATTTAATTGAAAGACGGAGTGACAGAGGAGAGACAGAGAAAAAAGAGATCTTCCATCTGTTGTTTCACTCCCCAAATGGCTGCAAGAGCCAGGGCTGGGCCAGGCTAAAGCCAGGGGCCAGGGACTCCATCCTGGGTGGGAGACAGAGGAGTTGCAACTTCGGTAAATGTTGAGGTTCACAGTTTAGCTAAATAGTCCTATGATGAAGCTCCATTGTCTGTTGAACGCATTTCCTGACCTTTGCCAACCCCAGAGATACTGTCTGAAAAGAGAAGCTGTGCTCACTGGGCACCAGACATCATGTTTGAAATCTGTGCTGCCCGAGGCGGAGCCAAGATGGCGGAATAGTGAAGGCGCGCACCGATAGTCCGGGAAAATTTAGTTTAATAAAAGGGGAGTTACGGTAGCCTCAGAAAGAAGAACCAGGAAAATATTGCAGAGGAAACCCTTCTGGCTTGAGGGGTCGTGAATCGGAGGACCTACTGGAAGAACAAGGTCGCCCACCGCGCGGAAGCCGAGCCGCGGGACCGAGCCGCGGAAGCCAAGCCGCGGGACCGAGCTGCGCAAGCCGAGCCGTGGGACCGAGCCGCTGGAACGCGAGGTGAGCCTAGCCTCAATAGCCAGAGACACCGGCGGGCAAGCGGAGAGAGGAGACTGGAGGGAACGACCCCCGGGGTGGGGGGGAACTTTGCCAGGCTAACTGGAAGAGAGAGAGGGAAAAAAAAGGGAAAGGTGCTGGCACGGACACGGGTTTCTCTCTCTCCGCTCACCTCTCAAGGGCGAGCAAGACAAAGAGCAGGCGCCATCTTGGACATACGTCATAAGCAGAGCGACCTCAGGTCTGCACCAGCCCTGAGCCTAGCAGAAAAACCTGACTCTGGGCGGGGCGAATTAACAGGAGATTAGGACCTAGTAAATTTGTGGTGATACTGAACTGAGACTGTGAAAAAAGAGACGGTGGGGGAGAGAACTCACGGAATTCACGTGAGCACTCTCCAGAGACGCTATAATTCCGTAACTTTGGCAACCCAGTGGGAGACTGAAGGAGAATTTGAGCCCACTCTGAAGGCCGAACAGATTCCCTGTGTGGTCCTTGGGAAAGAGCATCTGATCTCTGGCTCCTGTGGGTATATCATTTGCCTGCTAACTACCTCCAACTTCGTTCAGCTGTGCAGAATAACTTCCCTTTTGAATCAAAAAAAAAAAAAGAGAGAGAGAGAGAGAGGTTTACCACGCCTAACCTGGGAGTGTCACCTTTGGCACACCAAACAGAGCTCTCAGGCCACACCCATCTAAAGCCCTAAGGCTCCATCAAAAACAGATAGTCCACTTAATCTAGAGTCATAGTATAACAAGAAAAAGCACCACAGTGAAGAAACCAAATATCTCCAATATGCCAAATAACAAACGCAAAAACCAAGGTAATAAAAACAAGGAAGTCACCATGAAGCCCTCAAATGAAAAAGACACCCCAATTCAAGATTATGAGGATGATGACATAGAAGAAATGCAAGAAGCAGATCTCAAAAAATTGATAAGAACATTAAGAAGTTCTCAAAAACAAATTCTTGAACTACAGAAATCCTTAATGGACAAGATAGAAAATCTCTCTCGTGAAAATGAAATATTAAGGAGGAATCAAAATGAAACGAAACAACTAGTACAACAGGAAACTGGGATAGTGACTGAAGTGAAGAATTCAATAGATCAAATGAAAAACACAATAGAGAGCCTTACAAACAGAATGGGTGAAGCAGAAGAGAGAATATCGGACTTAGAAGACAGAGAACAGGAAAGGATACAGTCAGACCAAAGAAAAGAAGAGGAAATTAGGATTCTAAAACATATTGTCGGGAATCTTCAGGATACCATTAAAAAACCCAACATTCGGGTTCTAGGAGTTCCTGAAGGCATGGAGAGGGAGAAAGGATTAGAAGGCCTTTTTAGTGAGATATTAGCAGAAAATTTCCCAGGTTTGGAGAAGGACAGAGAAATCCTAGTACAGGAAGCCCACAGAACCCCTAATAAACACGACCAAAAGAGATCCTCACCAAGACACGTTGTAATTAAACTCTCCACAGTGAAACATAAAGAAAAGATCCTAAAATGTGCAAGAGAGAAACGTCAGATTACTCTCAGAGGATCTCCAATCAGACTCACAGCTGACTTCTCATCAGAAACTCTACAAGCTAGGAGGGAATGGCGAGATATAGCCCAGGTACTAAGAGAGAACAACTGCCAGCCCAGAATATTATATCCTGCAAAGCTATCATTTGTGAATGAAGGTGAAATAAAGACTTTTCATAGCAAACAGAAATTGAAAGAATTTGTTGCCACTCGTCCAGCCCTGCAAAAGATGCTTAAAGACGTGTTACACACAGAAACAAAGAAACACGGTCATCAATATGAAAGAAGGTAAAGGAAGGAAACCAAGGAAGGAAAGCTCACAGCAAAAGATCACAGGGAATTCAAAGCATATATTAGAACTTATATTTGGCAAATGGCAGGGCAAAGTTACCACTTATCATTAGTCACATTGAACGTGAATGGCCTGAACTGTCCACTTAAAAGACACCGATTGGCTGACTGGGTTAAGAAACAAAACCCATCTATTTGCTGCTTACAAGAAACTCATCTTTCCAACAAAGATCCATACAGACTGAAAGTGAAAGGCTGGAAAAAGATATACCATGCCAACAGAAATGAAAAAAGAGCAGGCGTAGCCATCTTAATTTCAGACAACATAAACTTTACCACAAAAACCGTTAAGAGAGACAAAGAGGGACACTACATAATGATTAAGGGATCAATTCAACAGGAAGATATAACAATTATCAATGTATATGCACCTAACTACAGGGCACCGGTTTATCTAAAAGATTTGTTAACGGACTTAAAGGGAGACTTAGACCCCAATACAATAGTACTGGGGGACTTCAGTACTCCACTTTCAGAAATAGACAGATCAATAGGACAGAAGATCAACAAGGATACAGT